TGTTACCCTGATACTTCTTCTTAAATTTCGAAATTTTCACTTTCAGTGAAAATTTCAGTGAAGAGCTCCTCGATTGTCATGTTACCCTGATACTTTTTCTAAAATTTCGAATTTTTCACTTTCAGTGAAAATTTCAGTGAATAACTCCTCGATTGTCATGTTATCCTGATACTTTTTCTAAAATTTCGAATTTTTCACTTTCAGTGAAAATTTCAGTGAATAGCTCCTCGATTGTCATGCTCTCCTAATACTTTTACAAAAATTTCAAATTTTTCACTTTCAGTGAAAATTTCAGTGAATAGCTCCTCGATGTTCATGTTATCCTGATACTTTTTCAAAAATTTCGAATTTTTCAATTGCAGTGAATACCTACCTAAAGAAAAAATTGGAATTATTAAAAAAAAAAAATGAATGACGGCGGGATCGAACCCGGGCCGTTGGCGTGCTAGCCGAGCACGTTACCTCTAGGATAACGCGCTATTACAATATTATAATATCATTAGGAGTATATATTTTGCAAAAATATCATTTTAAAAAATTGCTAATTTCTCAATTTCACTGGATATCTTTCCGATTTTCAAATATTCAGTTTTTAAACGACATTTCCATTGATTAGTCATTTACAAAAAATAAAAATTGGAATTATTTTGAAAAAAAAAAAAAAGATTGATACTGGTATCGAACCCAAGGGGTCCGCGTGCCAGTCAAGCGCGTTGCCGATTAGGCAACTCGCTCATTATGAAAATATCAATTCATTAGTGGTATATCTTCAACATATTGAATAATCTTTTTCATTTGAAATTCCACAAGATGTGGCTTCCCCCTTCCGCTCGTTCTACAGTCGGCTGAATTTCAGTTAAACAAATAAAAAATAAAAAGCATTCATATCCCAGAAAATAAAATTAACCCCATCGACTTGATGGACACCCCAGCATTGCGTGGCGCCCTCCCTCTCTTGGGGTGCAGTACTACGATGCCGCTGGGGTCACTCAAACCCCCAAAACTGGGCCTCTACTTTAGTCAATCCTTTTTGATGGCAGCACTGACACGCGAAATTCCAAGTATCATCCCCTCCCTTCACTCTAAAAAACAAAGCGGACTTTTTGAGCGGGAATTGCACACTCCCGGGCCACCATTAGCCAACGAAAATCGTCTGTGAATCAACGGAAATAATTTCTCAACTGACGGAAACAGTCCTGCATGTTAAAATCATCTAGAACCTGAAATTCAATGTACAATTAATAGTCCTGTTTGATATATAAGTTGAATCAAATCAGGAGACGTCATTTCAAGTGCTTACAAACGTCAATAGAACGCCAGTGGCAGATAAATATGGCCGAGCAAGCAGAAACTGTTGAGAATATGGAAGAGGAAAAATCAGTCACGATGCTGGACGTCTTGCAGGAGGAGAATCAGCTTGAGGAAGATGCCAATGCTGTCCTAGGGGCTTCCGATGACAAGAATTGTACTTACAGTGAGGTATGTCCTCTGGGGTAACCCCGAGCTCGATATGAACAGGTGTGACTGAAACTGGCTGCTTTTCGCGAGCCCTTTCTTCCTATCAGAGAATCCGTCGTGTTATTTATTTTTTTTTTCCCCAGGGATACATCAGACAAGCTCTCTATGCCTGCAATACTTGCTGTCCTGGAGGCAAGGAACCTGCAGGGGTTTGTCTAGCCTGCAGCTTTCATTGTCACGAAGGACACGAGCTGATTGAACTCTACACAAAGAGACACTTCAGATGTGACTGTGGAAATTCCAAGTTCAATGAAAAAAAATGCAGTTTGGACCCAGTAAGATCACTACTTTGTTTTTCCCTACCTTATATCGTCATTAGTCAAATTTTCAAGACTTCTTTCAATTAAGTTTATTTTTTTAATGACGTTTATAACGTCACACCACCAAGGCTGCCGTCATTTTATTAAATAATTCTCCAGATAATATCAGGGGATTTTTTTTACCTTTTTACCTTTAGAAAAAAATTCTCTTTGGTGACTCAAATCCAAATATTACTCGTTGTAATTGTTTCGCGATATGCAGCAGAGGTGATAGTCCATGATTTTTTCTTAGAATTCCAAACAATGAAGAAGGAATAAACGGGGAAAGATAATTTTCTTCATATTCACTGACCATTTTTCTTTAGCTTGAAATCGTGCTTTGTCGCTTTATGATTGGGCACGTATAGATTAAATATTGATTCGATAAAATTATCATAATTTTCTATTTTTTACAGGCAAAGGCAAGTGTGAATAATGAGAATCAGTACAACCAGAATTTCACAGGCGTGTACTGCACCTGTTCGAGGCCATATCCAGATCCCGAGGATACGAGCAATGACGAGATGCTCCAGTGTGTCATCTGCGAGGACTGGTATCACTCGAAGCACCTGAACTGCAAGGATGAGATACCCGAGGGTAACTCGTATGAAGAAATCGTTTGCTCTGGATGCATGGAGAAACATCACTACCTCTGGGGTTATGCACTGCAATATTCTGTTAACAAGAGTTTTAAGAAGGAAGTGGAAGACGAGGTGGAGGAGACAGTTGATATCACGGGGCAGTCTTCTGAATGTAAACTGCCAGAGAGTGGTGGGCAGAAGCCTGAGGGTTCGTGTTTCTGGGCTGAAGGGTGGAGAGCTGCTCTGTGTACCTGCAATAGTTGCAAGAAGGTGTGTAGGAGTGAACGGTGAAATTAAAGAATTATCTGCGGTCTTATTTTATTAATTGTTTATGATCGTTGCAGATGTATGAGGAGGGAGGCGTGTCTTTTCTGATTGATCCCTCTGACAGTGTTCAAGCCTATGAGGAAGCTGGAAAATTAGTACGTTCAGAATCAGCATATGAGAGGGGAATGAAGGCTCTCGCTTCTCTCGATCATGTTCAGCAAGTTAATGCCATTGAAGGTAAGTACTACTCATTAAAAAACGAACACTCCACGCATTCTAATCAACTATAAAAAATCGTCACAATTCAGTGGTTTTGTATTATTAATCGAAATTGATAATACCCTTCTGACATTAAAACTTCCATGCTCACATAATAAGCACTTATTCCATTTGAACAATTATTTTCTTTATTTGATGAATAAATTTAACTTCGTAGAGTACAACAATATGAAGGATCACCTGAAGCAGTACCTGAAGAAATTCGTGGAGAATAAGAAAGTTGTTCGTGAAGAGGACATTAAGGAATTTTTCTCGGAAATGTCGTCGAACAAACGCCCAAAAGTCACTGTTCCCACGTTCTGTCGTTAGTCACTCGGAGGTTCAGCTATATTTTTATATAAATCCCTGAAACATCGTCGCAACACTCGAATCAAGAGATCCGCAGGGTTAATATGCCCACGAAAAGTAGGAGCTTGTAAAAAATTGAACTCTTCGAATTATAGATAATCACGATGCATTTTGAAATATTGATAAATAAATGAGCTAAGTCGTTTTGTAATAATTATGAATTATTAATTTTTCATTGGCTTGAAATCGCGCTTACACCAGTTATGACAGGTGTGAAAAGATAATTGCAGCATGAATGAATTAATGGGTCTCGGTGCGAATGGGTATGACAACGAGGGGCTCGTTGTATTTTGGTTTGTCAGTGTAGATCGACCAGGTTCTCTTCACGCAATCAAATATGCCAGTTGCGATTGTCTTCACGTAATCATCAGGTCCGAATTCTTGATAGACTCTGTACTCGTTGTCTGTTTGATCACTCAAAATGTCCATTACCTCTCGACGAGTTCGTGGAGGTGGATGACGAGCTATCGCAGCGTGTCTGTGCTCACTGCTTGATATTATCACTCCGTCAACCTCGGGCACATTCAATCGAAGATATCTGTAATTGAATAATTAATTTTTATTCAATTTCCTTGGAATTCACTTCGACCTGGTGAAAAAAAACAATACAATATTTCTTCAACTTTTATTGCATCTGTAAAAATTCCATTCACGTTTTATTTCATTCTGATTTTAAAAATAGGAATTAAAATTATCCTGCGATACTAGTTGCGAATAAATGAAGGAGAAATATTAAATATTTACTTATTGCAATGGGCAATATTCTCCCCGGGACTGGCGGTGTAGATACTAAGCTGAGACTCATGGGAATCAGCTTCCACCGGTCCTACCTCAGCATTATGAAACAATCTATCCCCCTCCTGATCCAAGAACGTCATATTAACCGAAAATCCTTCAGCAGCTCCGAACCCCTTATTCCTGAGTGTTTTCTGGGCTTGTTCGAAGTTCGCAACTCCCAGAAGAGATCGAGCCAGGAAATATCTCGCTGCAAACAATAATTTTTCAGTATATCCTCACCAAAAAAAAAACCAATCAATTTGTTCCAATGAGTAATCGATTCGTCTCACGTGTTTTTCCGGATCTCAACGTCCTTGCACTCAGTGTATTGACACAAAAAACTAGTCCATGACTGTTAAAGCCCATCGTGTATCCCGGGAGAAATCCAGCGTAACAGAGAGAGGTGAATTTTTCTTCCCTAAATCCAGGCTCTGTCACATGTACACTCGCTATGTACCAGAAATTCAATGTCTCAGCAAGTGCATCCTCGTTATGCCCCAAAATTTCCTGGAAAATCCCTTGATAATTACCCAGGAATGATTGAATAAATGGCGCATAAAGAGTAGATTATTCTAAATTGCTCACCTGTCCTGGATAATTGCACGCGATGGATGAACAGCCGACAGGTTGATTTGTGCTTATGCCTGCCCCATTGACGACATTGGGAAGGATATCGTCGAGGTGCATGAGGAAAAGCTGATAAACGAGACAATAAATATACTTGAAAGGTTGCCAACCACCAGGGACGTCACATAATTAGTTATTACAATACACGCTGTTCTCAGACCACTCATGCTAAAATAATCCACTGAGAAAGTGAATAATCCACATAAGTGGAATTTTTAATTTCATTTCTCCTTGAAAAATTCCATTTTTTCATCATTAAAAAAAGTTAATCACAGGTGATTGTAATTCAGTAGCTAATCGCAAAATACGGCGCGTCGACTATAACATTTTCTCAATTATCAATTGATTTTTTTAATATCCATTAAAATATACCAATAATTTCTCATAAAATCATATATTTTTTTCAATTAATCAAACTGTGAAATTCTATTTCTCCCAGTTTACCATTTTACTCGTGAATTATTAAAATATATAAGAAAGAATAAATCGAAAATATATCGCGAATGGAATTTTAAGCATTCACGCCTTCTTTTTATTCGCGACTATTAATTAAGTGGTATTCGGATTTTTGTTACCTTATAAAATGGAACATTGGCTCCATCAGCAGTTCCTTCTATTTCTCGTAAATATTCAGGGAACTGTGATTTGACAGCTGTCAAAGTCTCCTCATAGACTTTTCGTCCGTCCTTAGTATTATAGACATCGAGATAAGACTCATTCAGTGGTCCGTAACAATCGACAAAGTCATTGATCATTTTTGCAAAAGTTCGCCCCTGAAGTGTACAATTTTTTATTATTATTATTTCGCAATAATTCCTTTCATGCAGTAACAATGTTACAAGGATCCGTAGTCATAAGTTGTCGCGAATAAATTATCCATTCTAATCCGTATCCACGTGTATTTCATTTTTTTATTCTTTCAATCTATTTTCTATTACTGACAGAGATTACTGGCAGTTGTCACGATTGTTTTATTATACACGTGGGAGAAACCACGGACAGTCGTCCTGCGGTTGACAGACACGCCTGGATATCGGGGCAATGCAAAAATTATATTCCATTATTTTAGTTGCACATGAAATTCGATACCAACTTGTGGAGGCATTGGTCATCGCCCGAGGGCCTTCACCCGAGTATTTATGTTTAATGGATAGCCGAGGGATGACTATTCATGTGCCTTCGTATCAGACCACTTGAAAAAATTATGCTTTTTTTTTTTAACTATAACAATCTCATTTTTGCATTATTGAGGTCATTGCGGGCTACAGACTATCGAAGCACTTTGGCATTGATTTTTAGTTAAATACTGAAGCTTTTTTTTAATTATTCTAGATCATGTATTATTACAATAATTTTGAAAATCAGTATTCAATCCTTTGTAAACTAAACTATTCATTTGAAAAATCGAAATTGGGAAGCCTGCAACGGACAATTGAAAGCTCAAAAATAATTCTCGAAACATCATTTAAATTGCGTGGATGTGTGGATTAAGAATGGAAAATTTTGTCATGTAATCTAGCTGAGAAATAGAATGCAAGGAATTTAAAATGTCAGAATTATTCGATTTCTTCCGGAATTACTGTGATCTTTTAATCTGCACGGACAGATTTCCAGAAATATCGGATATCCGTACCGCAATAAACTTCAGTAATGAACATCGAAACGCTGAATATGAATTGTTAAAAAATAAAATAGCAATCGAGCTCCGGAGCAAATAAAATAAAGCGAGAGTAGGTAAAGATTCGCTGATAACAGAGATGCACAATTTGATGGTTCTGAAGAGACACGAGCAGTGATAGTCAACATAAAAGGTAAAAAACAATTATTTTCCAATGAACTTGCTTTCGATTCGATGGCTATTCCAGTTGATTAAAACATGTGTTTCTCCTTTTACTCACAATATCGTATCCAATTTCGTAGTGTGTTCCCCTCGTATGGATAATTGGAATTGCATCTCTCCTTCCTATTCCCTTTTTCGTCTCGTACAAATCCTGACCCGACGAATTAACTATTCTCGCCATAACGAATAAATCCACACTGAAAATTCCGATGGAATAGCTCTCCACAGCTTTTTCAATGCGATTTTTATACGTCAATCGTTATCAACGATTCAAATAAATATTGTGCAACAGACAAACAAAGACGGGGAAAATTGATGTCAGATAACACGCAATGTTTGACAACCCCTCACGTTAATTTCAGGTTGATCTCCAACTTGATAAAAATTTCACTAAAGAGAAAAAATTCAATCGTGATTTCACCGAGTCAGACGCGTAATTCTGAACAAGTAAAATTTAAAATTCAAATCAGCAATGATTTATCAATCTCAAGAGGTTCGTGCATGAAAAATTATTCTGTCAATCGTGAGTTCTAATGACTTTAGTGTTCGATGCGATACTGAATACAATAATTTAAAAGAGAAGTCAAGCTCTCTGGTGTCGGTGTCCAACTGGATGGCTGGACACTAATCTTTCTTTAGCTACTTATCGACTTATACCCGGTGACACTCGGCCCCGCAGTTAGTGATGTTGTGAGTAAACCACCTGAGGATTTTATAGGAAAAGTAAACCTTACCCACTGCTAAAGTACATACGACCTTGATGTGTACTATCATGGTGTACACCTGGTATGGATGTTGTATTGCATTAATCGTACCGCGCATCACACAAATCATCGCATCATCACGTTAAATTATAATTATGTAACTGCTCTCTGTGTGGTGTTTTCAGCGATGATTGCATTGACGATCAGAACTGGCGAAAGGTGTCTTCTCCTTATGGTGGAAATCGTACATTGGATTTTCAGTTCCATGGCCCATCACAAATGGATTGACAAAGTTGATTTCATTAAAGTCATAAAAAATCATTAAAATCTTAAAAAGGAACTAAATATCTGAAGTAAACGAGAGTAATGCGATTTTTCTGGAAATGGAGACATTTTTTTTCCCTGGGGAATTTCAGGGATCAACCAGAAGGGGCAAAGAGTGTTGCTCAGGCGAAATAAATAGCAGAAAGCTTTTCTCTCTTTTATTTGCTTCGACCGTTGTAAGTCTTCCACTCACCCGATTATGACACTCCTCGTTTCAATACTCAAAGGTGTCTCGTTTTCTCCATTTTCAGTCATATTATAGAAAAATTGCGGAGCAATCGATGAAGTAAAGATATCAACTTTCTAACATTAACAGTAATCTTCCACTTCATTAGAACAAATTAAAAAGATGTTTTCATTGCTGTGACGACTCGCACAGTAAATCAAGTATGAAGGGCAGAAAATGCTCATGAGTTCTCAAATTCCCACGATCGATTTAATTTGGATTCCATCCTTACTTGATTACTACATTCATCAATGAAGAAGTGGGGAAAAAAAAAATAAATAAATGGGATTGAGTGCGTGTTGACATCGCATGGAGTTTCACGTAACTAGTTGTTGATTTTATGCTTCACATTTGCGCAATTATGAAGGTTCCTTACAGGAAAATGTCTCGCATGGTGCAAAACACGGAGATAAGTCAGCTAATTGCATAGGAATCGATGATTGGAGGTGGCATTGGCACGATTTTTTGACAGCTGCATAACTTAACAGATTTGATTTGATAGTTTCAACCCCGTGATAGAGAGTGCTTGTGCAATCACAAGGAATTTGACTTTTAACTATTTTCCCCCTAGTCATCGATTTAAATCACAGTTCACCTGCCACCCACCGCTCTATCGTGCCCCATATTTATCGTTTCCACCTTCTCGATAGAGAGAATTATGAAAATAGAGTACAATCGTCCGATAAGGCTTCAATCATCTAGACTTATTGGATCACAAGATCAATTAGGAAGTAGTGAATTATTTTGGCTTCAGAAAATCAGCTCAAGCTATTTCATAATGCACCGCCCTGATTTTCCAGTGGAGTATCCAATATTTATTAACTCATTAAACGTAGATAAAATACTCATCGGAATAATAGTTTCATCACTTCAGCTAAATTATTTGCCGATTTTTTCATCAGAAAAGAGAGAGAAGCCGCTCGTCGTGCATTTCTGATTCGTTCGCCACATACTTCCAGGCTCCAATCACCCCGTCCCACTGAAAAATTAGTAATAATAATCAGTGATGACAGTGAATTTAATTACCCGATGTTTTAATGCTTGTCGAGCAAGATAAATTCGTTATTACCGAGGATGATATGATTTCGTGACGATATGGATGCCAACTGACGTCTCTGACGCAACCCTTGTGTCCTTCCAGTGTTCTAACTATGCTCCCAGTTAGGAGATCATAAACTGGAGATAGAGAATAATTGTGTAGTATCGAGATATAAAAAAAAATGCAATCCATAAATTTTTTTCTTCATCACATTAATTACTTATGACTTTGCCAGTTCCACATCCAGTGTAGATGTATCTCTGTCCTGTAGTAACAGGTGGTGAAAAATGACATCTCACCAGTGTCTGCACTACCATGTGGCCCCTATATGTCATTACACTCGTATCACCATCGAGCTTCCCTTTATTAGCTGTAGAAACTAAAAACAATAATCGTCAATTAGTGGTTTATGATGTATTTCGTTGAGACGTGTCTGCTTGAGTGAGTTGTTATGGGCATAATTACACTTCTTGGGAACACGTTGCCATCTGTAGTCCCAGTTCTGATTGGCAACGGCTCGTCGAGTGTTGTCCACGGCCTCGGCACCCGAGAACACTCGCACATCCCACAGTTTTATCGTTTGGTCTTTGCTATTTGTTATCAGGTAACGACCATCACCACGGGGATCCACGTAAGTTAAACCGTCTTTGTGGCCAGCGAGGATTCCCACTGGGTGGGGATTTGCTTCGTTTAAGGTCCTCCTGTCCCAGACCTTCAATAACCCATCGCAGGGGGGAAAGTCAGTGAAATCCGCCAAAGGGACTCAAGAGATTTCACTTGAGTTTTTATATTCATTCATATGCTAATTTTTATGTTATATTTTAATTCAACTTTATCATTAATTTATCTTTAACACAGCCGTTACGAACGACAAATGTTGAAACATTTCGACGAAATAATTGAAAACTTATTGAAAAGCCTCTATTGTGTCATTAAGATAATTATCACAAACGATAATTGAAAAAGGTGCGTAGAAATATTTTTAAACACCCATTCTGTTATCGAGATAGTTTAGAAGTTTTTCAATTTATTTCTGAATTGTAAGTAGTTGGAAAAATAAAAAAAAATAGAGAATTTGTTAATTCGCCAATCACTTCCTCAAACAATGCAGGGTCATTATAATTACATAACAATTATTCAAGTCAATGCCAGTGTTTAGTATTTGTTCACGCGATTATTCCGGGAATACGCGTGGGGATAAGCACGACCCCGGGGCCTTATCATCACCCTAAAGGTCTGATAATGATATAAATAATCACCTTACAAAGCCCATCATCCCCTCCACTGTACAAAATCTGCGACGTGCTATCAGCAAAAGCAACGGTATTAGCATCCTCGGCATGGCCTTCGATCTGAAAATCACTGGAATGAGGAATTTCGTTTTCAAGAAATTAATTTCAGTTTCTAAAGTTCATATTGACTTTGATGGCACACTGGTGGCATTCTCTATCGTACACGTAAAGACATCCATCGTTAGCAGCTCCAAGGATTTCTCTTCCATCACTTGAGAAAACTAATGAAAATATACAGAATCTTCCAGTATCCGAGGGAACGAGAGGAAGTGCCTCCTGCATGGTACAATCTCCATCAATCGGGCAAAGGTACACTGGAGACAATTAATTTAATCAATCCCATGAAAATCGAATGCTTGAAAAAATTGCTCTCATCTCATTTCACTCACACGAATCCGACCAACACGAATATGCAATATAATTCCCATCAGGACTAAACGCAGTATCCAAAATACTCCACGACACATTGTGGGCATTCAACTTCTTAAACAGTTTGTAGACTCCACTCCTTGCGTGATAGAATCGTAAATAATTATCTGAAATTAGAACTCACGCGTAGAAATTCATGAAGAATAAATTCATTTATAAAACAATCAATAGTCGTATGACTTGGCCAGTCATTTGTAATTATTAAAATAGAATTTGGGGATATAATCCTTTACCTTGGCTGGCAGTGACAAGTAGATCTCCACTCTTGGAATAGCTTCCGCAGAAGGCTTTACTACTGTACTTATCAACCTGCTTCATTTTATTGGGCAAAAAATGATTTCCAATCCTTCGAATTTGACCAGTGGTAAAGCCAGGCCCCAGCTGGCTCCTCTGAATGATAGACGTGACACATTGATTCACATCTTTCTCCTCGGTTTGTACGAGGCCAGACGCCAGTTTAGTCTCGAAGCATATATCATTCTTCTGAAAATTCGATAATCAAGTGGAAAATTAATAACTGCAAAATGTCATATTGCACGAACTTGTGCAACTCACAGTGAGCTGTTCTGTGTTGGAAAAAGGCATGCTGCTAGATATTGTCTCTGATACGATAATTTCGTCATCAGAACTGTCATCATCCACTCTGGATGCCCCCAAATTTCCCCTATAAAACAATTAAAAAAAATAGGTTAGATCCTTGCAGTAACACTGTAGACAGCAATACATAAAACGACAACCGAAAAATCAACATTTTACGAACAACCTCTGGATGAAAAGCCTGAGTGTGCTGATCAAATCCGGGTGCATTGTGTGATCCATATCGACGTATTCATGCGACAAAAATCAATCGATTAAAGTACCAAATAACCAATGAAGAACGATTTTAACGATCTAATGATTGTCGAGTAACTTGGGAATTGAACCTTTACGACATGTTAAAAATCGACTGATAGAGTGATAACTAAAACGTCACTCTTGGATACGAATACAGTTACGATCAGTCATATATTTAAATATTTTTTTTCCATTGACTTTTCAGTTGATAAACACAAGTGGAAAAGCTGATTGCCAAGGTGAAGGGGGAGATGCTGCTGCTGTGGCGCTTCATGAACGACTGAATTCAGTATCTGCCAGTCGGTCTGCACTATTCCTTCCTTTTCTACTGAGAGCAATTGCAACCCCTAGGATCAAGAATTCACTTGCAAATCGAAGTTTAAGGGTGGGAGGTGGAGGAGAAAAATGCAAGACCTGAGAATTCTCCCTCCAACTCCAACCGATTGTTTACATACAACATCCCTTCCTCGAGATGATTCTGTATATTCATGCATTCCAGCCAAAAATACTAAATGACCTTGTAGAGGAATGAAGAGATCTGAGGGTCTGGTAGACAAGGTGGGGGGATGAAATGGAGTGGATGGAATGGAGAAGACGAGACTCCTGTGGGTGGAGGCCATGGAGTTCCTCGAGGATGAGAAAATGAAAAATAAAGACAAGACGATACCAGCGCATACACAGAAAGAACAAATGGTGAGCGACAACCCCTTGGGGTTGGTGGGATGGCCTCTTTCCCCAGGCCCAGTCGATCGAGTCCTCTGTCTCCCGGTTACCTCCAACCTTGGCCCCAATCCCCAATGAGACAACTGTACAAACTGTATCATCCATTTCCACAGATCAAAGAAGTTAAAAATGAAAAATAATAAACAAAAACCTAAAAATGTCAAAACTAATTAAGAATTAGCCCGACAGAGATACGAATCCCATGAAAAACTCATCAGCGAGTGATGGGTTGGGGAATGGGAGTAAAAATGATTAAAACTGAGGAGATTAACGGTGTGGGATGAAGCAGAATGATGGTGGTGGTGGATGTAGAATGAATTAGCAAGTGGAAAGGGTTGGTGGATGGGGAGGGGAAAATTGACGACGTCGTCTTGTTGCTCGAGTGGGCCAAGGCCAGGGGAAGATATTCAACCTTGACCCAAAAAAAGAAAAAAAAAACAAAAATTAACGAGGAATTAGGTAAATCACCGTAGGGCCGAGGGTAGCTCAGGGTTGTCGGCCAATGAGAGGGGGAGAGGGATGAAAAATCCAGGGGATGAGATGAAGAGAGATGGTGTGTGTATTTGGTATTGATGCAGGGCCTTGGGGGTTGATGAGTCCAACCCGTGGGAACGAGATGAAATGAGACAGAGGGATTGGGAATTCTATCGTATGGGGTTGGTGATGGAAAAGGAGGGATTGTGAATTGTGGAGGATGTGGGGGGGATGTGTGGATGTTGAAGTGAGTGGTAGGGGTTGGTTATGGGTGGTAGTGGGGGGAAATGGGGAGAAATGGGGAGAAATGGGGAGAAATGGGGAGAAATGGGGAGAAATGGGAAGGGAGTGAGAGAGGATTGGAGAGAGCTCCTAGCCAAAGCTCTACCTGCAGCCCAGACCTATAATATCCAGGCAGAGAGCGACACGACAGAGTCAGGGAGGCGGCAGGGCAGGCCTATACCCTGGGCAAGCGCGCGCCTGCGTTCTCACAACACGAGAAACCGGGTAAACGCCAGAAGGTTTTACCCACTTGCTAACGGGTAGTGGGAGACTTGGCCTCCTGTTTACAGGATAACAGGGAATATACCTCTTCACTTCCCACCGATATACACCACTGACAATATCCACCAAAGTCGTTTGCCACGCTCCAAGTCGAGATCGCGCTGTTCAATTTTATTTTTATTTATTTATTATTTTGATATTAATATCGGTTAGCGAGACGTCAGTTGTCGAGACACGGTGGGGCACCTGTTCTGGTACTGATACATTCGCGATTACCTGTGAATATTTGGGGCCTTCATTACTCAATCGGTTCCAAGGTTACTCTGGACTTCAATTACTGGATTCCAATTTTCACTCATGGACAACTGGGACCAAACAATGTGCAGCCTCGGCTTCTGGTAGTGATTGAATAATCAGTTATCTGCACTGCAACAGGTGAGGAATCCAGCATCTTATCTGCCGGAGGGAGATAATTCAAGGGTTTTTATTTATTTATTTATTTCACCCTGTTATTAGCTATTTTCACGTGTTTTGTCACGCGGTTTATGGGGCTTTTATGGCGGTAATCATTGGGGTTGGAAAACAAGTGGAGATCAAGAGAGTAGATTTTCTTTTACCATCCCCTATATCGGCTTTCGTTCTCTCTTCATCTTTTTCCACCGCATTGGAATACCTCGTGTGCACACACGAAATTATGCTCGGGGGATTTCTATCGCTGGGACTCAAGACTCTTTTATTTTTTCAGCGGCATTAGAGAAATGTTATTTTTTGTAATCTCCGTTGGGGGATCCGGTGCCCTCAACCCTCCCGGGGCTATCCCCCTAGCTTTCTTTTTTTTTCTCTTCCGTCCTCTGAAGGCACTTCGTTACACCTTTGAATCGGGAGGAGAAATTGGAGATCTTGGGGTGCGATTTGGATCGTCGGTGGGAATTATCTGCAGTTTCGATCGATTGAGGTAGTGGAATGGTTACAGAAATATACTTGTAGGTGGGTAGGGTGAGCTCAGTGGATTTAATTCCCCATTTCATCGAAAATTCATTCGGGTTCTTCTCTTGCTCTTTGAATTATGACATTGGCATTTTTACGTGTGCCCTCCTGTTGCTTTTCTCCACTCTTCTCTCACGAAGAACTTTCATCATTAAATTTTTCCTATACCCTCCGGGTTATGCTTCGTGCGTTCCATCAGATCATCTCCTTATCTCGGAAAAACTGGAAAGAGATAAATCGAGGGTGAGTTTTTTCAGTCTTTTCGAGGAGATACTTTATCCTTGATTCTATTTTTCAGGGGAAAGGGGGAGGTCTGGGATATGCATGGTAAAAGAAGATATGGGGAGGGCAAAGTCCTTTTTTTAAAAAATTTTTATATTAAAAATATTTACATAGAAATGTTTTTAACATTAAAAAATTTTTATATTAAAAAAATATCGGTTGATTTCACGGGATTTTTTTATTCATAAAAATTGCTTCCACTCGTTGATAATTACAATAAAAATTCATGAAGAAAACTCATGAAGAAATTCTCATGAATTCATGAAGAAATTTTCATTAATAAATCAGTAAATTATTTCATTAATAAAGGGTTAATTAATTATGAAGAATATGTAAATTAAATCAATTAACGAAAATGAATGATAATTTGCATGAATTAGAAATAATTTATGAAAATGACGGAGGGTTTAAGAAATTTGAGAGATTGAAGAATATTTATGAAAATATAAATTATTATGTGGGGGTGGGTGCGTGAAAGGGGTAGGAAATTCATGGAAAATGGTTTTGTTGTCTCTGGTTCCGGATGAAATGAGAACTGAGGGGAAGGAAACGAGGAAGGAACTACTCTGGCGTTCACACTCGACAAGTGGAAAAGGAAACGAGTCGGGCATCCCTTACTCAACCCTCCAACTATCCAAACCACTCGGATCCTGTGAGTGCAATTGACGGGGGCTTTTTCCACAGGAAACGTTCAAGGGCGGAAAAGAGAAGTGGCATGACATTTTTCATTATAAAAATTTTAATGCCATCTTCACTCCCTCTCCGGTTTCCTTTCTCGTGGTATGTCTTTTATTTTTCCTTTATTATTTCATAATTTTCCATTCCTCCCCTCCCCTCGTAGTTTCGCCCACTTCATAAAACAAGAAGATCTCTATTTTTACTCTCCAACTACATTCCAAGTTTGAATTTCCAAAGAAATAGTAAAATCTTAAAGATATCTTCAAAAAAAAAGGAAAACTGCTGTTTGCAACTCAATAAAATAATTCCATCAATAATTTTTATTGTATAGCTATAAATTTTTAATATTCAGAGTTGAAAACGTGAATCCAAACTCCAGATTGAAAATTTCCTTGAAATGAAGAATTAGAAATCGGTAATAAAAAATGAGTAATGAATTTAATGCAGTTCCATTCGCTGATGGTCCCAAGTGCCAAATGTACTCGGCACATGACAACATCCTACCGACGATTAATTGTATTAATTTTTTTGTTATCTCCCCCTCTCCCCTTCGTTGCCCCAGTTGTAATTGATGACGCAGTTGGGATGATCCAGGACATGATAATGGGGCTTTTCAAGGGCAATTTCGACTGAGCAATACGTTGGAGAACTCGAGACACAAGTGCATATGGATCGTTTATGCATTAGTCCAGTCTCGAGAGCAACCAAAACTACCACTGGACTGCTCATATAGAGCATTACCAACATTCTATCGGATCCTTGTATTACCAGGTCTCCATACAACCGCGTATGAACCAACCGCGTAATTACGTTCGTTGATTGAATTTCATCCGGTTTAACAAAATTATCCATCAGCGGCCAAACAAATTATCCACAACAATAGTAACATTTAAATGTGCTAGCAGAGATTGGATCGATTAAAAGTGAAACATTTGAGTGACACCCGGTGCTACGATCAATGAAGAGCCCCCACAGCGAACTGAAAAAATTATTTATAAAAAAGAGTGGTGAAAAATGGTATTCGCCAGTCAAGAGCTATTATCCCCGTCATCACTCCTCTTTACCCTCTCGTATTGGCCCTTTTTCCAACAGCACTTCATAAAAAAAAAGCAACTTCATCTGGTACAGGGAAAACTTTACGCATACAAGTTTCACCACGAAGTGGAAAAGTTCTGATGTTTCAACTCTCTTTCCTATTTTCCATTTCTCAGGAGTAAAGCCCTCATACACGTAAATCTAATAATATTGCAGACTCGGATAAACTTCGAACCCTCGGTGAATCGATGTGAGTGCAATAAAACCAGGACAAATAGAGAATGGGAAATGAGGGGGAGATGAAAAAATAAGGGAGGAGGGGGTGGTTAAATGAAAAACACTTAATTAGTGCTTTAACTCGGTTTCACCCTCCGGCACAAACGATTCAGTTACGTTATCCCAGTTATTTAACGTGAAATACCCTCTACTTTTATTTTCACCCTCAGTGTTACTTTCAGGGGGTTTAACTCCCTGTATCAAAACAGTGGGTTTGAGGTGAAAGAAAATAGACGGGATCATTTCAAATGGATAATATCTTTGAAATTTTTCAAAGCTGAGGTTTGGTTTCATTTGCACCGATGAATTCTGCGGGTTAAAAAAAATATTGTCGTCAATTTAATTTTATTGGGAGTCCATTGACAGGTCTATCTGATTTATGTAGTTAAATTCTGAGTTTAATTGTTGTTTGGAATTTTTCGCAGTGTCGGGAAATTTATGGAAACATGAAATCCAGGAACACATGCTCGGAATTTTTTTATTGTGATTTTTAAATCAGTTCAGGGCAGACTAATTCGTTTTAATGGAATAGACGGGAATATAAGGGGAATAGAGGATTTTTTAGTAGAACCTTTTTTGTAGAGTGGGATGAGAGCTACAAATAAGGTTTGAACGAAAAATTTGGTATCTTTCTTGGATTCGAAGATATTCGATGGAAACTGAATTCAATCTTTTTGTTGCGAACCCCTTCTGACGTAGATTGAATTTATTTCGATAAAATCTTCTGGACCAAACAGAAATCGTATTAGACCATCTTTTATAGTTTTGGGTATATCCTATGTATCATATATGTATGTGTGAATGAATATTTATGTGACACACACAGATGAAAATTTTTCGCTGAAATTTTCGTCACATGAATTTTTTAACAAGCGACGACAGCGCAAATTCAATTATCAACACCGTTCGTCAAATATATTTTATAAAAATAACCGATAATAATTCCGGAGGGCAGTGCGATAATGAGAAATTGTTTCGGAACTATTACGGAATTTTTTCCCGTGCCAGAGCGTTTCGTAATTTTTATTGAATATTTCTTTCGTGCAGTTCATCAAATGATGACCATAAAAATAGAAATTCCAGCACATTTGAACCATAGATCTTCATTATTCGTTTAGGCGTAATAGGTGGAAGTAATGAAAAAAAGAAGAGACCTGTTCGCCTTGCCCTCACCCAACGGCTGCATTCGGGGTGTGCTGAAGAGATTATAAATCATTGAACCAATAATTTTCCAATCAATTCCTCTTCTGGTTTATTTTCCACACTAAGAAGCTCCTGACCGAAGCATTGAACTCTTTCTACTAAATTTTTCCCCACGACCAGAATTTTTCTCCATTAAAAATCTCCAATACCCTAAAACCACTGCAATTTTCTCCAGTTTTTGCAAAATATCTTGGAACTGGAGAGAGATGACAAAATTTTAAAGAATACCTTTTTTCTAGCTCTCCTTTTTTCCCATAAAAAAGGTGGAAACAGAAATGTAGCTATTTCGCTTCAATTCCGAGATATGAGCCAAAATTTCGGGTCGAAAAAAGAATTTCTCCTAGTTTACCACTTCGCTACTCATATATCAATAAATAATTACATATTATATATTCTTTTTCATAGAGAAAGCATGAAACATGATGAGAACATGTTTAATTTCGGTACCGATTGAATGCATTGGGATGAAATAATTTTTAAATATTTTCTTTGACAAAAATCCTCTGAATTAGTGGAGCAATGATCAGACAATCGTGTTGACAATACAATCAGATCATAAATAATAAACAATACAGTGATGTACATGTGTCTGGATTTACACAGACACCAACTACCCATAAAGGTCGCCGCAAGTTTATATGATGTCATGAAATGTTTACGAGTCATGAAAATCCTACATTTGATTTTTCCGCTGTTAATTTTCCGGATTAGTATTATAAATTCCCTCTACACCGCGAACTTCACATTCTGCCCTTGACATTTTTTCCCACTCATTTACTCTACTCGTGCTTTTAAAAAACATTTTAATTCAATTTATTATAAATTTCTACTGTACTCTCATTTCTATTTCCACTTTAATTGAATTCCAGTCCTGATTCTATTTAAATTGGTACAGCAATTAATTCATCAGATTCACTATCAAATTAACGATTTCGATAAAAAACATTTTTCAATTGTTTAACGACATAATAAATTTATTAAATGATTGAATATCATATCAGTTGACGAGAATTTCAAGCGTTTCGGATGGTGTGTATTATCATGACCTATATTTTTCCATTATCGAGTTTGTTTTATTTATCGAATAAATAATTGAATTTATTCATAGATAATCTGAATAACAAACACTAAAAATTCAGAGAGGTGAGAGGTATAACAGATCTATAATTCAGCTCCAACCGTCATTCATACCTCGAATAAAAAATAACTCAGGATAAATTATTGTTGGAAAGTTGGGTAATTGGACAGGGGGTTGCGCTGTAAAATAACGTGATGCAAATGCTAAAACTTGGGAAGGACGTATTCTCCACAAACTCTGCACAACACTCCAATGATTATACATAATACAGGGGTGGGTTTGCACTGGGATGAGTACATCGGTACACAGAGCACTGTTGCTCTATTTGTCAGTCATACATTTACCCCTGATCCTGGCAGAGTCAACCCTCTCAGTGTTTTCCAGTCACTTGTTCTGTCCTCGGTCGAGTACAGAATCTAATTACAAACGGGTAACATGCGAATCCCACTGGCACTTCATTTACTCTCTACCATTCGTGCAATTCATTGATACCTTAATTAAACGTCCTTTTTCAATTGGTCATTGAATTATCAAAAAACGAATTTCGCCCTGATGAGACCCTCTGGACAATAAATAAAGTCGACACTTTTATTTTTTCCTTTGAAATAAAACTCACGGGCAAATGCAGTTGATAAATTCTGATTTATGTAATTAAATAATTAATAATAAGTCCGTTCTAATGTAATATTGTAAAATATTTGTTTATCGGACGTGTCATGCCATTATATGATATAATTACAATAATTACAAAACGTGATTTTTTTCCAAAATATATCGTGATGTGATAAACTTTTAATTATTATTTAAAATTTCACGTGATCATTTGTGGAATATTGGTTGCGAATTTCTGAGGTGAATGGCAAATAAGAATGGATTTTTTTTAAGTGCCCAATCGATTCCGCCGGATTTTTGCTGGGGCTCGACCTCCGAAAGAACCCCCAATGTATTCTTTTGTTGAGAAGTGTAATGCGGCCGATGAATAAAACGATAGTTAAAAGACAAGTGAAATAGAAAAAGGCTCAATGGGTTTATGGATGAGGCAAGAGAGCGAGGGGATAAAATAAAAAAAATAAAAATGAGTGAATGGCTTTCATCCCCCGGGTGAACTGAGAGAAGAGATGTTTTATCCCGTGGCTCTCCCTTTTCAATTTTCCACGGGAACAAGAGGAGAAAAATAGGAGAGAGCATCAGCCGCAGACTTGGTGTAAAAAGGGCTGATCAGAGTGAATAGGGTTTGCCCGTTCACCATCCTCATCAGAACAAGAAACCCCAGGCGTTGAGAATTGACCGACGGGTTTGAGCGAGATTAAAATGCGAAATAATTGAATTTTACCCAGGTCGTAATTACACCGGCAATAAATTCATACCAGTGATTCATTAATCGTGACATATTGCGAAGATGAAGGGGGCAGTAATATTTTTTTCCTCTTGAATTTCATTCTGCTTTTACAGAAAAGGAGGGAAGTGAAGAGGGAGGAGCTGAAGGTGGACAATTAGGGTACACAGTGAATGGATTTGTCGGTACCATGTTCAAGTTCAAGAGTAGCCAGCCAAATGTCGTTGAGAGTAATCCAATATGGGAAGAATTTGTAGCATCAAAGCAAGCACCAAGCGCCACTGCGGGACCAGAACACGTGTGGAGGATCTTTGATGCGTACAGAAAGAGCGATGGACAGGTTGGCCGATAAAAATATCCTCTGATAATTACAGTAGTCACTTGAAGCTACGTCAGTTGTTCCTGATCCGGTATTAAATGAGAAATAATTGCAGGAGGCCTCAGTGTTTCTTTTCGAGAAGCGCTCGGTGGAGAAATTCCACAAGCCAAAGCACAAGGAACACGTCACAGACATACTACGAAGATGTCCAAAGAATCTCGAGGAGTTCCGTCACCCAAAGTTTCTTCATGTACGAATAAACTCTAGCAATAGCTTGATGTGCGTGCATTAAAAAAAAAATCATTACCTCTGGCTCTAGGTGATTCACCCAGTTAAGGAGTGCTCTGAAACCCTGGCCTTTGCCACTGAACCAGTACTGGGGAGTCTCGCCAATGTCTTGGCATACGTTGAACAGCAAGCAGCATCTAATCCAAATTCAACAGCTCACAATGCCAATTATCACACCGGTCAAAATCCCCATCAGCATCCACCAGGACATCGACCAGTTCTCATTAAAAAATACGAGATGCTCGCTATGGAAATAAAATACGGTCTACTGCAGGTAATTTTACATCATCTTACACATGCACACCTTTTCTTCATAAATTATTCAGTCTGAGTGACACGGCACCGTCTACTTTCAACCCCCCAATGCCACCTCCAAGTTGACGCCTCTCTCCCCACCTCCATCTGCTCATCCTTACCTCTGCACTTTACCCTCACAATTTTATGACCTATATTTTTGTATTTTATCAACGTTGACATTAAACTTGAGAACACTGGATTTCAGATCACCGAGGCACTGTCTTCTCTCCACTGCAGTTACAAGGTTATGCACAGAAATGTATGTCCAAGCAGTATTATTATAACGAAGAAAGGAACTTGGAAATTGTGTGGCCTCGAATTCATCGGTAAGTATTTGCCATCGTAAAGAATAATAATGGCTGTTGAAGCAAAAATGATATATATATATTTATCGGTTTCACTTCTTGGAAATTTTATTTAACGAAGAACGAACAACTGATGAGAACGGCCTAGATCCCGTACCCTGCAACCCGTGGACTCACAAAGCTTCCAAGACCGTTCAGCCGAACCTCGATTATATTGGTAAAATATTCAACCCTTTCTCCCCTTTCTTCTCTTTTCCCCTTTCTCACCATTTCACCAGTTGCGTCACTGAGTTGAAATGTTCTATTCAAATACCCTCTTCGGTATTCATGGTGATTTTTTTTACAACAGCTCCGGAAATTCAATTGAGAAAAATATGCAGTATCCGGAGTGATATGTACAGTCTTGGAATGGTAATTGCAGCCATTTACAACGACGGAAAGTCCCTCATTCAGGCGAATCACAGTACTTCTGATTACATTAAACAGGTGGAAAATGTGAGTTTTATTTGATGTGGATGCGGCAGAGAGGATGTGGAGAGAGGAGAAATTATTTCAAATGTCATTCCCGTCTTTGATGTTTTAGCTAAATGAACAAGTAGAAAATATACTTCCCAGAGTGCCCATGCCCCTCCATGAGGCCGTATCAAGGCTGCTCTGTAAAGAACCTGAGGCAAGACCCATCGCAAAGCATCTCTCTCTGATCAAGTACTTCAGGTAAACAAACGATGAAAATAAAAAAGAAGAAAGACCTGGGGAATTGATGAGGGGAGCTCGTGGTTAAAGTTACAAGTGACTGGAATTTGACTTTGCCATTTTCAGTGATCCATCCGTTTATGCACTCCAGTTTCTCGACGTTATAAATATGAAAGATCCGAATCAAAAATCTCATTTCTACAAAAATACTTTGAAGGAAGTACTTCCATTTATACCACTGGTAAGACATCCATTATGCCAGGGGATGAAAAATAAATGGGAACAGAGGTTGAATGATGCGATGCAAAATATATCTTTTCAGAAATTATGGTACCAGCACATCTGGCCTTATCTCCAAGCTGAGTCCAAGTCCCAGGAGGTATTTGCATCGGTGCTACAGCCAATGCTATTTATAATACAACAGAGTCCCCTCGAGGATTACCAGAACATCATATTACCGTCATTCAAAGAATTATTCTCAACCCCGAGATCAATTCAGGGTACGGTGGTGCTGTTGGAGAATCTTCATGTTGTTTTTGAAAAAACACCAGCCGAAGTCATACGCCTGGAGATGCTGCCGATGCTGTACTTATCCTTTGAGAGTCCCAATATTCAGATTCAAGCAGCTGCATTCAAATCTGTTGTCAAGATCGCCGATTACCTCGAGGATACAGCACTAAGAAAAATTGTTCTCCCAAAATTAATGAATGCATTTGAGAACAGTTCAACTGACTCACGAATTCTCATGAATTGTCTCTCGAGAATTCTTGAGACACTTGATACACAGCAAATTGTCGACGAAGTTTATCCATTACTCTGGGATATCAAGCTACAGCAGCCTGATGCGATAACACGGGTTGTTAGTAAGTGCAGGTTGAAATATTTATTACACTGGAAATTTAAAAAATAATAAACAACTGTGGATTGATAAAAAATAACAATAATTTCATGGACCGCTTGGATGTGATATTTGTTGCAGCAATTTACAGACTCCTGTTGAGCAATAAGAAGTTCGGACTCACTATAAACATAATCGCTACGAAGGTGATGCCAATTCTACTCCCAGCAACAGTTAATCCGTCCCTTAATCTCGAGCAATTCCAAACATTGATTGAGGTCCTTCAACTGATGCTCAGTCACATTGAAAGGTAAGACCTGTCCTAATTCACTCTCAAGGAACAACTAAACATCTGGGTTAATCGCACCACCTGCTGATTTTATAATTAATTACCCAAATCTGCATTTTCAATGGCGTTAATTATTTCAGTAATCAAACGAACAAGCTAAAGCTCTCCCTCTCCAGCCCCGAGCGGCATCGACCACTCAGGCATCAGTTTAGCACTGAAAACATGCATGTGCAACCGTTCAATATTCCCGGGCTCAAGATCGAGCAGAGGAAAACCTCCTCGGCAGAGGACATGGCCAGGAAGAACTCCATAGGTACCGCAGAACAAGAAAAATTGATGTATCCCTTAAGAAATTTTATTGAAAAATCATCCATCCTTCTCTCTGTCACGATCATTAATTTTTTTATTAAAATTCATTTGCCCGAGAATTATCCAGGACTTGTTTGCCGCACTAGCATTTATATTCCCTGCTCATAATAAATTTATATGGAGATGTTTATTAAAACACGAGATGACGAGGGAGATGATGCTGGAAGATTGTTAGAATTGGCAAAAGAGAAGAGTATAATGTTTTAATAGAATATCTCAGTGAAAGCAGAAGGTGAATTGAAATCCACAGCTGCATGCTCATTAACACGATTTTACGACGTTGACGTCGCAGGCTCAATGTCGATGACAGCATCAGCGGAGAACATGACGCAGCGTAAGAACTCAATGACCAACATGCTCTCAAACTGGTGGTACTCATCATCGTCGTCGGCGCGAGACGGCACCTTCCTGAGTGTCGGCAGTGCCTTCCCAAGTCGTCGACTATCTGACAATACCCTGATGACACCTAAGATTCGCATCGCCCCGTCGTGCTCGAGCTCACCAGGAGGCACACCAGGCGGTGGTCTTCCAATAAGACGTCACTCGAGTACAGGACCACAGGAGCGTCGTGGCTCAAACGTCAACCTGTCACCACCAACCGTAAGTATCGACTATTTGTTATTAAATTGATTGATTAGTGGATATGAATTATAATCTAATTTGCACTGGACAAGAACACTGAGACGTTTGTTATGCCCAGGGTGGAATGCCAACAACCAGTAGCAGTGTACCCTATCTCCTCAGCTCAAGCATGACAAGCATCCGAAATTCCCGAAGACCCTCAGTCTCGTCGACAACGTCACAGCAGGGATCTGGCCTACTCCAGCAGTTTGGCACCGGCATGGTAAGACAACTACCCCCCATCTGCCTCAACCTCAATGGGCTACCACCTCAACTATCACCACCACCACCACAACTACCACATCTACCAATACCACCACTTTCTCCATCAATCCAGCCACTGGGACAGCCTTCCCACTGACCCTTGGTTAAGATGTAAGAAACTATTTTTTTTATTTTTTAGTTATTCTCTCTAAAAATCCTTGTGTCCTCGTGTTATCATTTTATTTTATTGTTATTTCAATGTTCGAGCAATGTTTGCAAGATGTTATTTGAGCACAAGATCTCACGCAAATGGAATGCATTATTGTTATATATCTATATATCTATATATTTTTTTTTTATTCAAAGAAAACCAAATTCGATATGTTCTCATTGATTTTTCTGTCTATCGCGATTCTCGAATTTCGGGTATTTTTTCGGTTGCAGTGCCAACTTTTCTCCGGTCGTTCTTAAACCAAGTGTGGCTCTGTGGATATTGCGGTGTTGGTGGGGAATTAAACGAGGGTGCTTTACTCGCATCATACCGCCACACATGCCATCATTATCAATCAAAAATATTACAAAATTAAGTAAAAAAAAATTGAATGAATGAGTAAATAATCAGCAAACTGTCGCATGTCGTACGATGAAAAAAGTGTACGATATTATGATCGACACATTGAATCTCCTCTGCGTATCTACGTTGCAGAGTCAGCGGGCTAATTGGGATTACTATCACCCTGATGACGATACGTCAACGAATCCAGTATCAATCGTCGTTACTATCGACGGCCCATCAACGATCGAACAAATGCGGGCGCAATAGTATTAATTTACCGCTATTTACCACTTTGATCGCTTTATTTTTGCTCATTGTATTGTACATACGTTTTATTTACATCATATTTATCAGAAATAGGCCTCAACGATTTTTATTTCATTTTATAAATAAGTCAATGCGGTGCTGCGCGCCTCGTTATTTTAAGACTAAATCAAATTCAGTCTAACGATAGCCAAGAAAGTACATTAAAGGAATCAAAGTGGAGAAACGAGGATCGAATAATCATTATCGATTTTTAGGCAAGAATGAAACATGCGAAACGGCACATATCCCCGGCCCCTTCAAAAATCATATTTTTTTCTCAATCATAATTGTAGATAAATCGTAGTATGTACTCGGGCAGTCTCAGCTAATTGAAATCAAATGAAAATTCCGAAGATCCTGTAGATCCCGAATAAAAACGATCAGTCTGTTAATCACGGATCATGAAGAAGTTGGAAAACGGAGGGATAAAAACTACTGAAACAACTCGTCTCGTCTCGTCTCGATGTGAATCGTCAATTTATGTAACTTTCAATTAAAACTGCATTAACAATCACTATTTACTAAGATTAGATTTTGTACTAGCGACGATCGTGCACAAATCAAATAATCGCTGGCTGATGAACCACGAGAGTTTGACGAAATAAATATAAATATATTTTCCCCTGGGTGGAACATAACATCGAACGATCGCCGGTGGTGAACGATCTATCGATTATTATTCTCTATTTTTAACTAACGAGGGGAGTAATTTGTTGCTATTGGCCTCTTCACTATTATTATATGAATTTTCGGATAAATTTGAAGATTTTGTTGACTGAGCGTGAGTGTAAAATTCATTTCTACTGTGATATTCTTCAATCTCTCGTATGAATGGAAGGAAGGAAAATAGAAAAGGAAGAGAAAATGAGAAAAATGACAAGAATGTGTGGGATAAAAAATGGATAAAAAAATATGAGAAAAGGGCAAATAAGATCGGCAGTTCTCATCATTGCGTATAATTCGATTTCTGCACCTACTTGACTGGCCTTTCAATCAACCATACGGAACACAAGAGAAATGAGAGAATAAGGGAGACGGATATGATTACTAGTTACAGACGATGTGAAAATATATGGAGAATAAAAGAAAATAAAATTCACGCGCATATAATGAGGTCATTTGTCGACCGTTTTTGTACCTGCAATTCATAAATAGAGACAATTTATTTATTTACCGGTATTGATGATGGAGAGAAATATTCATTATATTATAGGAGATGGCATTTGAATTTTTCGCGCTGCGAAAATAAAAGAGGCAATTAATAAACGTCGATAAATCATTGAAAACTCCAGAATGAAAATATATATATTAATAATGAAAAATGGTGCAGGTCGCCGGATCTATTGAATACACGATCGTCTCATCGAACAAATCAAGTGAAAGTGAGCATATGATAATCATGAATTTAATCAGTTACAAACTTGATTAGCCATAATTCCGCAAAATGAAAATCTACCAAAAAAAATCTAATAATAATACTCCGTAATAGTTTTTTGTGTCTCTAAAGTTGTAAGACTACGAAATTAAGTGTCCTTAAAATTTAAGCGATTAAAATTTATTAATGAAGTAATGACAAATCAATACTGGAGCGTTTGGAGTCGATCAGCGACTGGTGATCAGTGGATTAATGAAAAATAATGAATTAGTGACAATCAGCGACAATCAATCGAATGGAGAATATAATGATTAATATTGGTGATCGATGAGCCAAACGCTTTGACAACAAGTACAATCGTCGTTTTGTCCCCCTAAATTCACCACCAAATGTGTGTACTTTAGGCATCAGACAATCGAATAATACATGTCAACCCGCCCGTTCTCCAATAAATATTACATTAGGTCGATCAAAAGAATAGTATGACGACTGATGGCAATTTTAGAGAGAGTCCATTTGTTAGAATCGATATTTTAATTAATAAAAAATTGAGCAGTCAAATTATGTCGAAGATAAATTCAATACTCAACACACGGAGTGCCAATGTAATATTCGAGCAATAATTAATCTTCCACTTCTCGCGAGTGTGTTTAAGGCAAAATTATTGAATGATCAAATATCTATCATTATGTGTATAGCAAACCATTAAACCTCACGTGTTAATGATATTCTAATAATCTTTATCTTTGCATCAATTTTTCGCTTTCTATCTTCGAATCTTTATCTCTGGGATTTAATGAACATGAACATGAACAATGAACATGTAGAGGTGGACAGGAAACAAGTAGTTTTTAATGATAATTTAACGTTGCATTGTCAATCAGCAGACATCTGACATTTTTATATTTTTTTTTTTTCGTTGGTTCGGTGATGAAACCCATGACTGTGTACTTCAAACAATCACACGAGTCTAGAGATGTATAGAAAAAGTACAGTAAATGTATGATATCAAAAATAAATGTGAGAAATGACGAGTTGTTGTGATTTCTACCTGTTGTCGATTTTCTCCTAAGATAATAGTGATAATTAATTATCATTATCATAATCATTATCTGGGCTTTTTTCGGTCTTTTCAGGAATTTTTCCGATTTTTATTCATCAGGTTTCTTTTGTTAAACTTTATAAATTCACTTGTGTATTAATATTGTTAGCAATAATTGTCATGATTTTTATTTGTTTATAGCAGTTAATAAATTTATCCCAAGAGGGATATTAATTTTTAAAAATGAGTGATTACAGTTTTTGAGGAAATAATTGGTTTTTTCAGGAATTTTTCCCATTTTTATTCATCAGGTTTCTTTTGTTAAAATTTATAAACTCACTTGTGTATTAATATTGTTAGCAATAATTGTCATGATTTTTATTTGTTTATAGCCGTTAATAAATTTATCCCAAGAGGGATATTAATTTTAAAAAATGAGTGATTACAGTTTTTGAGGAAATAATTGACTAATTAAATGATTGTAAAGATGAGATTACCGATTTTTTTTGGTGGTGGGTTGAATGGATTTTGAATTCCCTGAGGCAAATGAAATCGGTGGGTTCATTATGATCGTTCCGTGGACTTGTGGAACGAGAGAGAAACGAGCTGGAACTAGAACTGGAATGGCAACGAGATGCCCTGGAGAAGAGGTGGGAGGATCGAGAGGTGGAGGTGGACTAGACCGCGGGATTCGAGGATCGGTTTGTAACTCCGATTCGAGGTAGAGGCAGTCTCTCGTCAGCTCGAGAATCGAGTATTTCAGTGCTTGAAGAATTTCCCCCGTTTGGGATAAATTTTCCAATAAATTTCGAGTACCCGATTATTTCCCGTTGGATTACAAAATTCAAAGTGCAACCAGGTGAATTATCCCGCCAGTCTAGGGGGGAATAACCCGCGAATATTTGAGTGTGACAAGTGCTGGAGGGGATAATCGTATTTTCCCGGGTCAAAAGTGAGTTATCGGTCGAGTGAGGGTCCGGTGGGGCCCCCAGAAGGATTTTACATTGGAAAATAAAAATTGACATTTAAAATGGTGAACGTAAGTGGAAATTTATTTAAAATAGTCAGGATTTGGGATTAGCATTCACCAAAATTATCAGCACATGGGCAATAATCCAGGAAGATTTTCTCTCATTCAGCGAGGTCGAAACTTTCGTGTCACGCTCTGTCGAGAGCCGCATTTTAAAAACTCAAGTTCTCGCCTTTTTTTCCACACGCATGGCCCAGAGACCCGCACGTTTCCATCGTAATTTCTCCGATGCTCCCTGCATGGCGATTATTTTCCCGCATAATTTATCAATTTCGTTAAAACATTCACGCTCTTTAACTTCCAATTGGGGAAGAAAGAGAGATCTGATTGCAATTTCTTCTCTATTTTTTATCGATCAATAAGAATCAATCAAAAAAATTATGAGAATTGAAGACTGGGGAAAAAGATTTAATTATAATTGCACTAAATGTCTAATTGTAATTGGACATTTCGAGGTGCGTTTATATACGACTAGAGTTTGGAAAATGAGAAGAATGAATCGTGGGGTAATGGGAAAAATCGTGATGTCGTGGGTGGTGAAGGTACAGGGGCGTCGGAAATTGTCCATATGGGTCGAAGGAAGACATCACCATAGAAATCGATTGTGACAATTTGCGAGGGCGTTTTGTACTCCGCGGTGGTAATCGCACAGGTGGGCGACCTTTCTGCAAAATTTTATCCAAGTGATTATGCAAGAGGCGCAAATTTTTCTCCATTTTATTAACACTCCACCCACTTATTCCACAATGTCATCGCACTCCATCGGTTGCGCTGTGTCGTAACAGACTGTCAAAGTAAAAGTTTCCAAGTGTCAGAGCGATAAAGACAAATGTCGGTCATTTGAAATGGAAAATTTTTCATCGAAAAGATTTTATATTTTAAATTTAATTTGTGAAATTCCTGTGCGACGGTGGGAAAAGTCGATTGGTCTCGAAAAACGAGGTCTTCGCGTCGACCTCGAAACACACAAAATATACATGACCGGCTCTTCCTCACGTGTTGGAGATGTGTAAAAACGGCACGTCAGCCAGAAAAATATATATGTGAGAAAAATGGGGGAGAATTAATTTAGCAATGATTTCGGTCAATTTTTTTTCCACCTTTTAGAAAGTTCCCTGCACCGCGGGAGAACTCAATCGATTTTTGATCATCCATCAGAAGCCATTTTATATACATTATTTATATTATAATTTATATACAACTGGAAAATGTATAAATATATGCAATATACGTATCAATTGTATAATTACATCATATAAATACATTGCAATAATAATAATAATAGCTATAATAATAATAATAAATTACAAATCAATCTAATTGAGTGAAACGTTCGATAATCCCGGGGTAATTGCACCGAAAATCCCGTACAATCGATTGAAATACAATTATTAATCCGGAGAAAGTATAACTGCAATTGGCGAAACGGTATGCGCATCGAATTATTTATAATGAAAAATAGCTGGGGTAATATCAGTCTCCCGTGACAATAACTCAACCATAACAATTGTCGGGGTAAAATTAATTTGTTATACCCGTTTTTCATGAAAAAGTGAAATGCACGTTAGATTTTCCAATCATTTGAAATTGGATAAGGATCAAATTCATACGAGTTAATAGCCTGTGACATGGAATATCAGCAAATAGTCATTCAATAAATATCCTTGAGCCTCATTTCAATCCTCTTGTGTCGTTTTACGAGATCGAAAATCATTGATCAGATCAATCACCCATGACTATGTTTTATTGATCTGGGAATCGAACGTTGGACCACTCGATTATCCAGGAAATTTTTCTTTAAGCATATCGATATATTTTTCTGATTTTAAATTGAAGATTAATTCACGTGGTCTTGGGTTACACTGAGAAAAAAAAATTACTTTAGCCAAGAATATTTACTAACCACGAGAAAATATTCTTGGCAAAAATAATTTTTTTTCTCAGTATATCTATCAAACAACCAGTCGCGGCCATTTTTATCAGCTCTCATTCACCTTCTGACTTTAATAAATTCAAGATTCCCAGATTTTTATCCATAATTAATTTAAAATATTTATCAACTCCTTGTGATATAAAATAAAATAATTAGAAAATACTTTATTCAATTGAATTTATAATAACTCGAGAATTCCGGAGAGTTAAACAGTGAAATAAACTCGGGATAAATTGATATAAAAAAATAGAATTGAATTTCCAATTTGAGGAGATAAAAAAATGTAGAATGTACGGTTTGTATGAATTTTTTATGAATTATAAGAATTGTTGGATATTTTAATTTTCCATGGGGGATGGGGCTCTCATGCCCGACCTTGCGAACAATCTAAATTGGAAGAGATCATTACATATTCATGGAAGGGGAATGAATAGTGCAAAGTATGCAACAAGTGGATGAATTGAATTGAATTTGAATGATGGGTCGTAGTGCACGAGGGCAAGAGATGTGTAGAGCAGTGCACGCAGAGTTACAGAGTTTTTTTTTCCCGTTATTCAAGTTACCTCTTCATGTTGTAAATCTAACGGGTGTCACTTGATTCATACACACTGAATAAAAAGTAACTCAAGAATAATGCACTGAAACTCCACAGCCTCATGAAAAACTCAAATGTTTGGCAATGAAAGTCCTCGGAATATATTTGACTATCAGAGGAGAAAAAATATAACTGCATTATTCATTTCCACACATTCATTCAATTTCACGTAATCAATCAAATTACTTCATTAATTTTCACCGTGTAATATAATATCCTTCCAATTCAATTAAAATTCATTGAAATTGCACGTTAAAAGTATTTTAAATGGACGGGAATTAATTAATTCTTTTTAATCAAGTGGAATTATTTTTTACAAATACAAATAATTGTTTAGTAAACACGAGACAAGAGACTTCAATTAAAATTCATCAAAATTAAATAATAAAAAGATCTTAAAATGATATTCAAGTGAAATCAATGAAAATTAATCCGAATTATTGATAATAACTTTCAGTGGAGTTTAACCAGAATTAATTAAAATGGAGTGAAAAAAATGATATATAGAATTAATGGATTTGGCGGATTAAGAGAATTGCAAAGTGAATTTGTGGATGTACGGGCAATTATGAATAAAAAATAAATAACAAAAACGTACATAATTATCATCTTCCTCATCGTTCTAGTGGAACGACAATCATCACAATGTAAATGCGGGCCGAAGGTTTTCTCAGTTAAAAATCCATCATCGCTTTCACCGGTTTGTTCTCTCCCCAAAGTCCTGTCGATGATTACCAATATGACGCAAGCTAAGTAATAAAAAAAAACGGATCATTAGGATAATTATGGCTGCAGGAGTTTCACTGTAAAATAGGATCGATGATGAACAATGGTAAATTTTCGGCCACGCCTTGAGCTGGGATGACGTCAGAGAAGATGTTCTCGTTGATTTAATAATTACTCTCGTACTTGGAATAGAACAACGAGTAATTGCAGTCCTGCCTCGCCAGGAATAAATTGATATCGATAATTACTTTTAAACGTTAATAATAGTTTCAGTAGTTCAATCGATCGTTCAATTATTATTCTCGTGAGAGACTTTCGTGAAAATTTTGCGCGAATTTCCGCGTGATTTTAAAATTATGAAATTTTTGTACCTGATGGGGGGCGGTGATTGGTGGAAGGTGTTAATTTGAATGGAATCCTCGTGTCGTCATGTTTTAAATACCCCGAGGGTACAATCGAGGTCAAGCCACAGGAACTTGATGCGTGGGCACCAAAAGCCACGTCTAATTCTGTAAGAAAAAACAGATTGCGCAATAGAATATTAAAAATGTTAAACAATGAAGTTTAATGATAATTTATTCAAATTGGATAATCGAAATATTTTATATGAGTCGTTATTGAAATAATCATGACTTTTACAGCATTAAAAATTACCAATCTATTTAATCCCGATAATAAATAATAAACAATAAATAATGATTTTTCAATAATCAAAATGCGATGAGAATAAATATATATTTTAGACATCGATGTGGTTTAAATAATATACTTCAATTATTCCTCCACGGAAAAAAAATGTATCGCTCTTCCATTTTATTATTATTTATGAAAATCAATAGGGAGTTATTGAATAATAATGAAATGTGAAGGCAGATGTGTTTTTCCGCGTTCATCCGATCAACAATTTTAAATAAAACTCATCAAATCAATTTCGAAGAAAATCCAAAAGACCAGAAGACATTCTTAATTGATCCCTCGAATTAATGTGACGTGATTTTAATAAGATTCATCAATTAATTCTGATCTGTTTGGATTTTAAGGATGTAATGAGTGAGTACGAGAGAATCAAGCGTGCTTGCTTGAAACGAGGTGAATTGTGGGAGGATCCGGAATTCCCGGCAACTCAGGCTTCCGTTTTTTATCATCAAACACCGCCCTTTCAGTTTCAATGGAAGAGACCAAAGGTAAGAGTTGCTAATAATACATCTAAAAGTGAACGAATAAACATGAAAGAGAAAATTGTTAAAGCGATGTCGAAGTCGTTGGCCACTTTTTTTTTGTCGATGAAAACTGGGGGAAGAGACAATGGAGTCGAACCTCGTAACAGGATCCCCCGAAGCTGTACCTAGGCTGTACCTAGGCTGTACATACAGGTAATATTCCTGGTAACCGGGGAGTTTATGCAGCAAGGTCGTTTTGCTGCATCGTTGCTCTCTACTCGGGTACAGACATAAACTGAATACAATTACCCAGATTTTAATCTTGAAGCTTAAAAAAACTATGCAAATGTGGTGGAGAATTGTGATGTGCGCGAATACCGGAAGTGATGCACTCAATATGACGAAGACACGCCGGAAGTCATGACTAAAGAGTTATTCAGTACTCCATTCGAATTTTAATTAATCCCTATCACTGCATTTTATTTTATTGTCATTTTTTCAGGAGCTGTGCAATCGCCCGATTTTTGTCAGTGACACTCCCACACAATTCGATGTCATCCCCGGAAAAATGGGTGAGGATTTTTCATTTACTAGATATTGACGTCTATTTTATTGTATGTGTCCAAAGAAAATGAAGCATGGAATATATTTTGGGGAATAATTGAAAAATTGTTTGAAAATGAAATTACACGTAAAAAAAAGATTTTCTAATCTTCAATTTTCAATTAAATTTATAATATATAATGCATATATAATACATATATAATACATATATAATACATATTCAATCCAATTTAAATTTAATATTTGATATATATTTTAATGATTCATTTATTCGTTTTTTATCTATAGGATAAATAATATAATAAATGAAATTTTTTCGGTGGACAATTATAAAGCGTATTATAAACAATTAATTAAAAATTGTATATTCACCAATAACTGGACTGAAGAACAGCTTTCCTCACCTCATTTAACCGCTCCACCCCTGAATTGTCGAGAGACATGCAAATGATATCGTGTCATGAGTTTTCTCAAAGTCTGACGAAACGCCGGAATATTTTGTTTACTGGAGTATAATAAATATATTGATCACGCACAGCTGAAACAGAAAAAATTCCTGAACAATCAGCACCACTCCACCACAATCCGACGTAATACCAGGGGAAACTGACTCTCATTTTTATTTATTTTCCTCATTTATCTACTGGAATGACGTTTGGTTACGGAATAATGAGAGATTCAATTAACAGCTGAGGGAGCTAGCAGCAATTTTTGGCTGAATAAATTCTCATTTTCGTATCACGTGAGGCACAGAGTAATTACGGGCTGCACTAATGCAAGTGGAATTGAGTGAAAAATGTGGGATCCCAGGGGTGAGGTATATCCGCATGCATCAGGAAGCATTCCTCCAACTATCGGAGGCCAATAAATCACCCTCTGCATCTCATCCCCAAGTTATAGCTTCCGTAATAATTTTTCCCTCCGGTAAAATCATAACATCCGTGGTGAAATTAAATCTAATCCAACACCTCCAAATTGCATTAAAAAATATCATTTCATAACTGAATTTCCTGCTTTCTATTACCAACAACAGTCGTTAAATATACAATGAACTGTTGAATCGCACATGCGAGAAAAATGAGATCATACGATAGTGAAAGTGTGATAAAGACATGAAAATTAGAAAAAGGGAATTGGAAAAAAAAAAATGGAAATCCCAGTATTTTCGTTCTGCTTCGGTGACCATGGAAAACTGAAACTGACCAACTCGTTATTCTCAAGGCGTTGCCCTTCTATTTCACCAGAAACATTAAACAATCTCACAACAGATCAAGAAATAAAGAGCTAAAAGAATTTTCTGAAAAAAAAAATCTCAATTGAATCGACGCAGACTTGAGTGACAGATTCCTACAATTTTCCCAGATAATTGGCCCGATTTTCCCACAAGATTTCAGAATTGTTTTTCAGAATTGAGGTCTAGCCATTCGATTTAGCTCCCGATGTCTTGCTTAACTCGTTCATAATTCCCTAGCAGACACAGCCATCAGTGAAAGTGGAGTGGCCACAGTCACTGGCACTTACACTTACACTTGCGCACGATAACAAATTGGAAAAATTAAAACAGGCAATTGGAAAAATAAAAATAAAAAACGGGTACTGATAAATCGAGTGGATATTATATGCTTATCCGGGAAGAACATTAAATCGATAACTGACACAGACTCGTGGACAAATAGACATTCACTTTCAGTTTCACTGGAGATTTATTTATTTAGCGGTTGAATTGACGTTTAATTGACTCATTTCAGGTGACAAATGGCTCGTCTCATGTCTAGGTGTTCTCCACCTGAGCAAGGGACTATTTTATCGTGTTGTACCTGCTGATCAGGGATTTGGTAACAGTGGTGATTCATCTGGAACGCCGACTTCCGAGTACGCTGGAGTTTTTCGTTTCCGGTTGTGGTGGTGCGGATCCTGGGTCGAGGTTCTCGTTGACGATCGACTTCCTGCTGTGCATGGACGACTTGCTTTTGTCCAGGCACGCCACAGCGATCAGTTCTGGCCGGCATTGCTCGAAAAAGCATATGCAAAGTGAGTACAATTATTCCACAATTATTCCACAATTATCAATTCCCCATTATCGAGTTGCGAATGAATTTTTTGTGAGGAAAAACGGAAAAATTATGCATTAATTATTGAAGTCTGTCCCGTCTTCGTCTTCATCTCGGTGCACCCCGGAGGAATTCCCTCAAGTCTGCAGACCCCTCTTTCTATTCGACTTTCTATCGGCCAAATGGAAAAAAGGATGAATTTCAATGGAATAAAATTCCCCAGGACTTGAGATGTAGAAAAATAGAAGATACAGAGGGGAATTGTCCCTTGACGACGCTGATGTCAATAAATTCGAAATACCATGGCAGTGAAAAGGTTTATGAGAATGCAGGCGTATTCTCGAAGAAAATTTCAAGGACTACAAAGGAAAGCTCCCCATTGAATCCTCATAAACCTCTTCATTGCCAAGATATTTCTCAAGCAATCCCACTCATTCCCTCTGAAGCTTTTTATCCAGCAACATGAGTGCAGGCGCAACAAACAAGAATAAGAAATTTTAATCAAAGAAAATCCACGGTGGATCCAGGGGAGACAATCCGATGACATGAGCACTGGTGAATTTTTCACTGAATTGTCAATAAAATTCACCTCTAAAAATAGCTGAATAGTTTATCCACAAGAAAGACATTCCCCCTGGGATTTCTCCACCATAGAAGACCGTAAAACCCGTGGCTCTCTGCTCCCGATAACTGGCTAGAGAGCCTCGACCTCGGAGTATAATCGAGAGGAGTCTCTTGGCGGTGGAAAAAGAGGTAAAGAAACAAGGATATAGATAGGATAAAAGCCGAGAGAGTCAGCCTTGGAAAACGAGTAACGTCGTACCGTAAAACTTCTCTCGCCCCCTTCTCATCTCACCCTCTTTCCACCGTTGAGTTTAGCACTGTTGGGGCCCCCCTGGATAGGGGCCCCAGGATAATGGCGCTGGCAATCACGACTTCTGATGGAGAGAGTCAACTCCGAGTCACTCTGTAGCACTACCTTTCATTTTTTTTATTACTTGTCCAAAAACTTACTGTCATAAATTATATCCGAGGGGAAGAGAATATCCAAGTTAACTCAGTTCTCATCTTATTTCACATTTCACATTTGCCAGAGGTATTTTCAACTTGTCCTTCCGCCTCGACCGGTCTTTACCACCGGGAGTCCAACGATCTCCACCAACGACCTCAACGTTATATCCTCTTTAACTTGTTCAATCTATTTTTTTTTTTATTCGTTTTATCTTCATTCTGTCTTGAAAATTCCGATCGATCGGTTCATACTTTTAACCGATGGTGTTCTCGTCATGTGGAACATGACGTTTCGTCGGCTGAATAAAATGAGGGAAATGTACCGGTAAAGGCCATTGGGAATTCCTCCGGTGATCGGTGGCTTCAAAAGGCTCGGCCATTCCTATTCGTCATTTTTCTCCATTGGTAAAAAAAAATTCAATGAAATAAAATGAAATCGTCATTGGTACACGTAATTCAATGGGAATTCCTGGGATCGAAAGAAAGTACCATCAATGACACACAATCCTTCTTTCCGAGTCACTCAGAGCGCATAAAAATCCCGGCCAAGTCCTAAAGAAGATTCCCGTCTAGAAAGCCTTACTTCTAGTGTATATGTAATCCAGTGTGTGTTTTATATGACCGGCGGATTTCCATTAGAGAAAACACCTCAATTTATTTCCTCGAGCGTCACGTTCACGCTGGATAATCCGCCACCTTCTCCTGGGATATCTCATTTTAACCAGATAGAAAATTCAAAATATGAAAATGTTGTGGGCAAAATTGCGAGTCGTACAACAATTGATGCTTTCACTGGACTGAAATCAGAAGGTAAAGAAATATAGAGATCGCCGGGGAAATGGCTTATTGAAAGATCTAGTCAATGATTGTCTTACGAAATGCACTTTTTATGTGGATCATTACACGTACAAACAATTGCAGGATATTGGTCAAGTCAAAGTGCTCAATTTCTCCACGTAATGTGATAAAATACCACCGAGGAAAGGATATCGGTAGTCCGATTATCTGGCACGCGCTCGCTTCACACATGGACACACATACGGCTATTGAAATATTGAAATTTGCGTTTCAAGTACCATCGAGGTTGTACTTTCACTGAGACCATTTTCATGTGTGCTCAGTACTCCGTTTCGATGCATCGGGGGTCAGTGCACTTTGCAATTTACCGATCAAGCAAATCTTCAACGATTTTGTTAATCCTATTAATATTATTAATGAGAGAAGTTTTTTTTTAGCTTATCTCGTGATAACTGTACGCTAAATTTGATTAATTTCAGTTTGTCGTCTTCCTTGGGAATTTACTCACGGAATTACATACACAATTTTCCTGCACTTTCGTGTGAATTGTTACGCTGCACATAATGTAATGATGATAAATAAAAGAATGGGTGGAATCAGCGTTCGGTGTTGAGTTCTCTTCCCTTGGGGATTAAAATTGAAAATTCTTTCTCGTTTTTTTTGGAGATTATTGGAGTTTTCCATTTTTGAGAATTTTTATAATAATTTTCGGGGTAAATATATGTAAAATGAATCTGCATTTAATAAAAAAATTCAAATCTCGGCTTGACCTCGATACCAGTGAATAACAATTCGATATTCCAGGCTCCATGGGTCATACGAGGCCCTGAAATACGGAACCCTGCTGGACGGTCTGTCAGATTTGACTGGTGGAATAACCGAGAGCATAGCCATACGTCAGGATCCAACAGCCTGCGGTCGAGCACTTGGAAAACTACTCGACATGACCTCACTAATTACCTGCACTGTCAACAATAATCAGCAGCAGCAAATCCGTACAAGCACTGAGAAACTGGCTAATGGCATCCAAATGGGCATCAATTACCGGCTTTATGCTATTGAAAGGGTAATTTTTCATCGATTGTGGATGACTGATTTTGTTAAGAGTAATTAATTTATACGATTGGGGAAAATCTAGGTGGAGACGTTCAATGGAGAGGCAGTGCAGCTGGTTAAATTGAGAAATCCCCTGGGACCTGGTGGAGAGTACATCGGAGCTTGGGCTAGAGGTGGACTCGAGTGGGACGAGGTGCCAATCGCCGAACGAGATCGACTGGCTGTTAGAAATATGGCTGAAGGCGAATTCTGGTATTCATATTCAGCCTCCATGAAAAATTAACACGTGAATTCCATAACTTAGTAATTTCCCTCAACATTGAATGTTCGTTACGATTGATAAAATAAAAATTATTGAGGGATTTAAAACCAAATTGGATTGATAATGCAACATAATTTTTTGGGGGATATTGTGGTTTCCTTGGATTGACTGCAAATAGACTTAAAATCCTTAATGAAATTTACTCCTCTACAGGATATCGTACTCCGACTTTGTTAAAACCTTCACTCACCTAGAAGTTGTGCATCTAGACGCAGAAACGTCACGGGATGAGCCCTCTTTGCACAGCAAACATACCTGGCAAATGAAACTTTATCAAGGCAGCTGGCGAAGAGGAGTCACAGCTGGTGGATGCAGAAACAACCAAGGTAAACTCATAAATCCCTGAAAATTCATGCAAACCGACGGTTAAACTAATTCATCACTTCATTGACTTACAGAAACGTTTCACATAAACCCACAGCTTCATTTGATACTCAGTGAAATGGAGGAGATAGTTGTCTCTTTGAATCAACACTCGATCATGGAGCCAAAGGTAAAAGGACACTTGACACTGAAAGAGAGAGCGAGTGACAGTTGATCAGTGATTCTCTCATTTCTAGGTCATCGGGTTCACGGCTTATACACTGCCGAAGAACAGCACCGAGTCGATTAATAAGCAATTCTTCAAGAAGAACAAATCCCTCGTTAATTCACAATACACGAATAGTCGACAAGTGAGTCACAGATGTTTGCTGGAACAAGGTGGATACTTGCTCATACCAACGACCTTTGAACCTGGCCAAGAAACCAATTTCACGTTGAGAGTGTACAGCAGTAAACCGTTGAAACTGAAGTCAATATTTATCATCGATTTTTATCCACTTTCGTTTATCACTGGGTCGTCAATTTTATTAGGGGAATAAATTTTCAGATTACTCGACACACCTCCCACGCTAATAAAATCGGCCATTGTGAAAGCACCAGCACTCGAAGGAAAAGGATTTTCACAGTACGAGGCGGTTTTTTTGCAGCTCGCTGATGAGCATAAAACAGTCAATGCATTTGAACTTCAGGAACTCCTCGAGGCCTGTCTCCCCAATGGTAATTCATTAATTTATCGATGACAACTACCAAGAGTGAATGAAAATTTTTAATTGTTGTTTAATTCACCAGATTACATAAAGAGCTGTGCATCCATGGAAGTCTGTCGTCAAGTGGTCCTCACAATGGATGTATCCTTCAATTTAATAATCTCTCTCTTATTTTGTTGATATTCTTATTTGTGGATATGCTTTTCTTGACTAATTTAGCAGAGCACTGGCAGTGGTAGGCTTGAGTTCAATGACTTCAAGGATCTCATGTGCAGTCTGAAGTACTGGCAGGCGGCGTTTAAGAATCACACTAAAGAAAGAACTGGTATTCTCAAGGCTGAGAGGCTACGTGACGCGCTTCTGGAAATCGGTGAGTTGATTCAAAAGCATGAAGAGTTCCCCTCAAATTCTTATTAATATGTGGAAATGATTTTTCAGGGTTTCAAGTCAATACTGATGTCCTCGCGGTGTTAATTCTTCGGTACATGAGGAAGGATGGCACTCTCAGGTTTGGGGATTTCGTCTCAGCTATTCTACACCTCAGTGATGCATTTGGTAAGTCGTCTGATCTAGCATCTTATATGAAATTTAATTTTTTTTAAATACTGGATGTTGCCCTTGACATTTTCAGCAATCTTCGAAGGAAAAGATCCACTTCAAAATGGCAGCATAAAATTAACTCTGTCCGAGTGGCTTCGGTCAGCCCTGATGTGCTGATTCTCATTATTTCTGCTGCTTTGTAAATAAGTCGTCATCGAGGAAAGCAAATTGCCATATCGCAATATCCCGTCTCTCTTCATGTCGAAGAATTCTGTAAAATATTATAGTCCATTATATTATTTAAAGTGATGCATTTATTGACGATGTTTGTATGATAAAGAGGAATGTATCTATGAAGTTATAATAAAATTATTTTTATATTGTATAAAAAAAACCTGAAAACTCCTTCTAAATCCAAAGATGCTAATGATTTTAAGTATCGCTTTTAATTTTTTCCACTGAGAATTATTTCAGATGTTTCAATTAAAAAATTTAAATTAAAAACTTTCACCTCAAATTCCCTTCACCCATTCGGTTTTCCACTCGACCAGCAAAAGGGAATACGACCGCATCAATTAATTATAAATTCAAATGAGAATAAAAATGAAATTCATAAGTGAATTTTTTTCGGAGTGAATATTAATTTCGATTTTCGTCGTATTACGATTCATAAGAGAAGATAGAAATGAAATAAAAATATTCGTTGGCATAAATCTACAGTGAGTGACGAAGAGAGAAATTAACGTCCCTAATAAGGAGAAATGAATTATCCGATGAATCCGAACGACTTTTTCCCGGGCAATTGGCTGTCATGACGTCATATGGCTATCATATGGTACACCGATTGTGCCACAATCACTCCGAATGACGTGGAGCTAGGTTAGGTTACCCTTCGGTGGCAGGATCGCTGCCCAATATTTATTCACCATAAACACTCAATATATTTCGTAGAAAAGGAGAATCTAATTAATTGTAAATATGTTCGAGATCACTGACACGCAGAGTAAGTAATTACCCGTGAATTATATTAATTTTATTGACCCCCTTAATTGATGATGTATAAATATTAAGATGCATTGATGTAAAACCCATGGGGATTGATTAACATCTCTTGTATTCCTGGAATTTCAATGATTTTTTATTGTTGCAGAAATTGGAGTGGGTCTCGCAGGTTTTGGAATGTTCTTTCTTTTCCTGGGGGTCCTTTTGCTGTTCGACAAGGGACTTCTGGCCATAGGAAATGTAAGTAATTATTTCCTTCGTTTATGCATTTTTTAATTGAATTGATTGAATCATGGAAATCATGCTTGTTTCAGCTTTTATTCATATCTGGTCTGGGCTGTGTCATAGGCCCAAAAAGAACATTCAGTTTCTTCTTTCAAAGGCACAAAATGAAGGCCAGTATTGCATTTTTGGGTGGAGTTATAATTGTCCTTATTGGATGGCCAATTGTTGGAATGATCTTCGAAATTTACGGTTTTGTACTTCTCTTCAGGTGAGTCGACATGAAATTATAGCAAATTAATGACAACATTTGACGTGACACAATTTTTTATGTGATGATTACTTTATTATTTGTAATGAAATAATTTAGTATGACATTGATTTTATTATTTCTGTTACAGTGGATTTTTACCAGTAGCTATAAACTTCCTCCGCAGAGTTCCCATCCTCGGGACTTTCCTAAATATGCCAGGAATTAGCAGAATCCTCGACATGCTGGCTGGTGATTCCAACAGGACAACAGTATGACCATCTCCCTAAGAAAAATTATCTCTAAAGCACACTGTAAATAATCAACATGCACCCTCACCTCATATCACCCATTTATTTCTCTCTCATTCCATTTCTATTGCACTTGAAAAATTTTGTATCGATTGTGAAAAACAGAATGGAGATATTCGATGCCAATTACGTGTAAGTGTTCAATGTTCGTCGTTTAATTTATGCGGCCATCTCAAATCCGGAGACTAAATCGCGTTGTCTGCGTACCTTGTATTTGTATTTGACAGAAAATATTCAGTGAAAAACAAAGAAGAATACAGTGACTGTAAAGATACGAAAGAATATTAAAAAAATGATGAGTGAAATTGAGAATTGAGTCGATTCCCCTCAATTATCTGTTATTCATCTTTATTTGTTTCAGAAATTTTAATTCCGGATATCAGGAGAGCATGGGGGTGCTGAGTCATGCCAATGACTTTTTTTTATTAAACTTTTTAATTAAAAGTTTATGCTAGATTATTTTTTTCAATACAAAAATCTCATTCAATTTCTGATAAAATGGTTTGACACTTCTTCTAAATATTTGAAAGCCCGAAATATTTATATTCCCCCAAATTCCCTAATAAATCAATCGCCTAGATAAAAAATACGAGGAGAAATTTCAATCATCTTATCCAAATGATTTCGCATGACGGAATTTCATTGAGGTATTGATAAAAATCGGTATGACGTACTCAGGTAGTACATTGGCACGTGATCAACCTCGATCCCTGGCCCTGAGATACCGCGCATTTATTGCAAGTGACAAAATCCGGCTAGACAAATATTATTCAATCATCACGTGAATGCACGGTTATCACCAAAATGATGTAATGAAAAATTACCCAAAGAGCTGAAAGAAAAAAGAAATAACGACGATAAAACGTAATTTTCCACTTCTTTCTTTTTTATTGATTTGACAGTTGATCTGCATACATCCTAACATGAACAGAAGTAGATGCATACACAGACTCATTGATCTTTAGTCATTATCTTACACGTTGTTGTCTGGAGTGCGAAGTAATTGATTTTTATTGTTAATCATCCCCCTAAACTCGGTGTACTTTTTGTTCATGGATATCGTTCAATGATCGCATCCTCGTTTTTCTTCATGTAATTATTACGAATTATTAATTATCTACAATGGGCCGAGAATAAAGGGCGGGGGCAGCCCAGGTCTACGCGCCCCGCCATCGTCGTCGATGGTTCTTTATGTTGTTTATTTATAAATCGTCGCGCGTCCCTCTCATGTCTGTTTAAATTAATTAGGTTTAACTTTCTTTGCATTTTTACCTCATTACAATTTCACCATCGTCCTCAATTATTTTAAATTACTCATCAACATGATGAGCCCACTGACTCGCGCTGGATAGCGTTACATTAAATTATGAATGTTCTAGTTTTTGTGGTTTTTAAATTATTTATTTTCCTTTTTTTTTTGTTAGGCAGTCGTCGTTTTGAGGGACGTGCCAATCAATTTCACAAATGTCGTTACCACGCCCGCGATCCACTCGCAAGCGAGGAATTGTTTCATTAAATTAAAAATTCAACTATTTTTTTTTTTCATTTAAATAATGTCGTACCGGGAGTCACTGCAAAGAATACTGAATCCGGCAATAAATTAACAAAAGAAAGAACGAAAAAAAAAACTGAAACAGAATTGAGTTAAAGCTTGTTTAATTGAGAGCCGAGAGGCCTCAAAGCCTCTGCAAACGACTTTAACTTGTTCTTTTGTTTTCATTCATGAAATTGTCGACAAGTTTTATTCTCTCCTTTGTCTTCGAGTATTTTTTTAAGTTTTTCCTTTTTTTTTCTCCAATGACTGTAGATGATATCCAGAGACTCGGACGTGGACAGTCTATTTATTTCCGGTTCCTCCAATTGCTTGACATCTATCACGTTTCAATCGTGATTATTCCGGTGATTACTGTTGATGATGAAGGATGTGAGGGGTCGCAGGGTGTTCTGTCGAGTGAATGGGTGAAGGGGGGAAAAAAAAATAGGGGATAAAGTTGTTTCAGTTGTTCTTGTTGTTGTTGTGGACTGAATATAACTGTTTAGAGGAGGTTCTTGATCTCGTCGTAGAGTACCAATACAAGGGCACCACCAGTACCACGGAGGACATTCGAGAATGCACCCTTGAAGAAGGCACCACCACCCTCGCTCCTGTAGATAGTTCCCCAGCAGTGAAGAGTGTTCTTGTAGAGCATTTCAGACTTGGCACGCCCAGACTGCATCATCATACGCCTACGTACTGTGTCGAATGGATATGAGATAATACCAGCGACAGTTGTGACACACTATTGAGGAGAAAATAGTTATTGGTTTAATTTCAGTCGTCAATTGATTGTTCTATCCTTGAATTTACTCACCTGTGCAATACCCCATGAAACCAGGAATGGAGTCTTCTTCGGGTCTGGGAGCATACCACGTGCTGTGTCATAGAAACCGAAGTATGAAGCACGGTAGATAATGATACCCTGCACTGATACACCGAATCCACGGTACAGGCCAACCAGACCGTCAGATTTGAAGATTTTAGTCAGGCAGTTGCCGAGACCAGTGAATTCACGTTCACCACCGGCTTTACCCACATCAGCGGCTAATCTATATTACAAAGGCATAATTTTTCATTGTGATATATCCATAAATGAGTAATCCCTCAAGCAGAGATCGCTGATTGAAAAATCGTCTCAATCTGCCGCGACAGAAAAAATCGAAATATTTGAGAATTCAGTTTTGTATTTATTTCAGTTATGCGAATTCCAAGAATTTCACTCAGTTCCACAGATAATCTAACAGAACTGTTTGAATACTCAATCAAAAACGTTTCTTTGACATCGAAAGATAATGAATAATTGAGTTTAATTTGTGGATTCAATATTATCAGTTCGACTTTGCAATTAGTCTAGAGATAATGCGATGGAGATAACACAATTGAATTTTTCGACTCCATTGAGTGCAATTGAATTTGCGAGTTGATCTATTCCTTTCCTGGATATTACGGAGATGGGAATTATTTTTAATTACCTGGTTCTGGCAAAGTCGAGTGGATAGACAAAGCAGAGTGACGTGGCACCAGCAGCACCACCTGAAGCAAGATTTCCAGCGAAGTAACGCCAGAACTGCGTGTTCTTATCAACACCACCGAGGAACACCTGCTTGTACTTGTCCTTGAAGGCAAAGTTGAGGGCCTGAGTTGGGAAGTACCGGATAACGTTGGCGAAGTTACCACGCCAGAAACTGAGGAAACCCTGTTCTTTTGGGATACGAACGAAACAGTCGATCATACCTGAAATAAAAAGAAAAATCTCATTGCAGCAAGTCCCCCAGGTACTCACTAACCCAAGGTATCGATTGAAAGGGACACTGACCACGTTGGAGCCTAACCTCAGCTATGCCCCCAAAATGGCGGATGCACTAGTGCAAATTACTGTTTTATTCCTCTGCATTATCGAACTATTCAACTAGTTTGACGCATGACAGGACATGTTTGACATTTATCGTGACTGAAGGATTCTAAAGTAGTTGGCATCTTTCCCAGTGGGTTCTAGCATCAGTCAAGTCCGAATGTAACCGCATGTAACCGGACATTTAACTCCCCTCACGTGAAATTGAGGTCAAACCCGTATTTGTCCCTTTTATAATACTTCAAATTGAATGAACTCATCTCTGATTATTCTCGAAATCCTTTAAATTCAGCCCCAAATGGCTGTTATCATCTCCTGATAAGGCCCGATTGTATACTCAAAGATTGTATTAAAGATGAATTGAGGGACGAGACGTCTAGAACCCTCACACCATTTATTCATTCTCGGCCTCATGGCATAAGAAAAAATGGACCGCCATGTTGGACCGCATCGTCATCGATCGACGCCAGTAACCAGTGAACATTTTCCTTCTCATTCCATTGAGGAAGAAGGCAAAACGCCCTCTGGATTGTCTCTTATCGATCCGATTTGCCAAAAGACAAAAGTGCATGCACTCGAGTTATGTAAGAATCGAGTGATGATCTTCGTTACATAAACCCTTGAAAAATCCCCAAAACCTTTTCCCTCAGGAATTATTCGAGCTAAAGAAAATGAGATTCGCCTCATTACTATTTTTCTCTGCATGTGTAAAATGGGGCGTTACGTAACGGAAAAACTTCCCCAGTAATGGATGAAAGACAGAATGACTCGTGACCTCGACACGCGTCCCAACCCGATGACATTGACACCCGTAGATCCGTCACATGCTGAGGAATTTGAAGATTTATTTAAAATTCAGTTAATCGCAGAGCATCTCCATTTGGGCCACGCGGTGGGCGATACCACATGGGAGATGACTCGACGATGAAAACCATAACCACCAATTGGAGATGAGGTTAAAATTTATAAATTCAAACTTACCCTTGTAACGCTGGTCCTCGGCGATCTGCTTGGAGATGTGCTGTACCTGAAGAAGCAGCTTGACACGTTCGATCGGCGCTACAGCTGTTTTTGAAATAGCAGCGGCACAACCACCAGCGAGAAAATCCTTGGCAAAAGCCACGGGATCCGCGAGAGACATTTTGTGTATTGGGGTTTAAAACTTTCTTTCGGTTAAAGGAAGAAAAAAGGAATTATCCTCCTCAAGTGTTAAGGTGTGTAGTGGACGCGCGCCGGACGACGAGTGATCGAGACGAGTGTTCTTCTCGATTATGCCGACCCTAAGCTGCGCTAAGAATAGCTGCGCAGGTCACGTGCTCGACTTCTGCGCACATATCACTGAGTATCAACCCTGACACTTGAATTCTCCACCTCTCAATGTCACAATCGTCAATTGGCAGTGGCCATTCTGTTAAATTTACTGCAATTTTTTGTCTCTTTTGTCATCATGATTTTTTCACTTCCATCGAGATTTCCATTAATATTTTGCAAATTCTGTTTGAATTGCCCGCACTTTCCCGCAGGTTCGGCCGCACTTCCGGCGGAAATGGGCCAACCAGCGACGTCCCAGTGTCAGGGCCGAGATGTCAGGACGAAGTTGATCTATTTTTTTTTACAGAAATCAATTCTTCCTCTGTGATTATTGCATTATAATACCGCCGAAACTCGAAGGCATCAGGGATTTTGAATAATTTTTTACTCCTGTCATGACATAAATTAGATGTCAAGATTGCGCGCGCAATCTCCGCCAACAGCGGGAGATACGACTGCAGTGATCGATGGAATTCGAAACCCTTGGATTATGTAAAAGTCATATTTATTTCAAAAGGTCGTGAGTAAAATTTTATCGATCATGAAAATTGTTCGGTGTGTAGATGATGGTGAATTGTGAAAAGGGATGAATTTAATTTATTCAATCCCTGGGAACGAGAAGCAAGGGCAAATGACGTTAGGCCATTTAAGCAGGTCAACGGGACATTGTCGTTGCGTAACTCTGGCCAAAAGCCAGGTACAATTCTCATCTCACTCGTACAAATCTTTGAGAGATCCCAAAGTTCAATGGAGCACGCGCTCTGCTCTTGTAATTCTTCATTCTCCACTGATACACCGATAACGGATTTGGCCACTACATCTACACGAACAATTTTATTTATAGTATTTTTAAATGGACGAGTACACGCGTGGGACCTTGCACAGAACATATTATTGCTAAATGTGTCCGTCAACTATTTGCCAGTTAACAAATTACGTGACGAGAAAAAAATTTTTTCTATTCATTACGATTATTTCTCCTCCCCAGGAGCATAAATGACTCTCAAAATAAACGGTTTCGACTCATTCCCAGTGTTACTCGAATAAATTTTTGTATAAATAAAGTAAATTAGGGAGACGTAAATTAGGGTGAATAAAATAGAAAATTGTTGTTACGGGTGTCGTCTTGGGAACGAAGACGACCCTCGAGTATACGATTCCATTACTCAATAAAAATTGTAAACCGATGCGTATGTTTTGAATTGCATGAATTACCCGATGCAATTCAATCCATTCTCGAGTGTTAAAATCGATGGCAATTAATTCGATAAATATACTCTTTCCTGATAGTAAAAACTTTTTACTAAAAAGCATGGACTGGAAAGTGAATTATGTTCTATTTCTAATTCTGTTTGAATAAGTAGTAATCCTGCCATCTCTCAGTGTGCACTAACAATTTCAGTTGTCATTTCCTCACGAATCTGCAATATCGAGCACTGCATAACCCTCTGATAAAAACCTGTCAGTCTGAAATTATCCGCCTGTTGTTTACAAGTTCCAATAGTTTCAACTCACATCCTTAGCATAAAAATGTTATTAATTGTTATCTAATTGTCAGAATTCTTAAAAAATGAGTGGCGGCATCGTACCCAGTAAATCAACAGTTTATATATCGAATTTACCATTCTCATTGACCAATAATGATATTCACAAACTTCTGGAACATCACGGAAAAATAGTAAAGTATGAAATTACCCCCAAAATCATTGGTAGAGACGAATGAAGATTGTAAAATCGCAGCTGAAAAATTCCGGTGCTTATTAATTCATGTAATCACTTTATTCAATTTCAGAGTAACAGTTTTAAAAGACAGGAGAACGCGAAAGAGCAAGGGAGTGGCTTTTGTATTATTTCTGATGCCTGAAGATGCAGTGAATTGCGCCAAAAATTTAAACAATACTGAGGTAATTTACAAATCAATGTGAAAATATTTTTAAATCAACAGGAGAATATTCAAGGATAATCTAGACAATCTCGTATTTTATTTGAAATTCTATTTTTTAAAGTAATTTCTAAAATAATTAATTAATAATTGACTTTCGATCGATGTTTGAATTTAATGAATTATAATATTGAAGTTAGGTGGAAGAACAATAAAAAGTTCGATAGCAGCTGACAACGGTCGAAGTACAGAATTCATTCGAAGACGAGAATATCCAAACAAATCCCAGTGCTGGGAATGTGGTGAGGAGGGACATCTCTCTTATATATGCACTCATAACACCCTAGGACCTAGAACTCCTCCTCCTAAAAAAACTAGAGTAAGAAAAAAGAATAAACGTGGAGAGGAGCAATCGGGCACAAGTTACTACGAGTCAGACAGCGATGAGGGGCTGAGGCAACCACGAGGAACTTCAGGTGCTCAAGAATCTGAAGAGAGTGATGAGGGAGACACCGAGACCCTCAGTGCAGCCATAAAACACGAACAGGAACAGCTTGAGCTCGAGAAATACAGGTACAAAGTCGCCACCGGACAGTACGATGAGAACAATCACGACTCGAAACCCAGAAAGAGATTCAAAAAGAACGAGTACTTCAGCGATGAGGAGGAACTCAGTGATTAATATCCATTAATTTAAAATCAAAGAGAATATTTCTTTCTTATTATGCGATAAGTTATTTAAAAGTGTATAAAATATATTGTCCCAGAGCTGTAAAAATTCACACTTTTTATGAAAAAACATACAATTATTTACAGAAATGAGAAATTGAATTTTATGATTGAGTGATTACTGGGACATTGTTGCATAAATTAAATTAGAGCTAGAGGAAATTACTGTAGTTTTGTTTTGTATCTTTTGATCACGTTTTTCACGCGACTGCTGTGAAATTTCTTGCAGAAGTTTTCGGTTTCTCTTGACGTTTGCGGAATTTTTTTCAAGGCACTTTTTGTTGTGAAGAGTTTGGGGTGAGGTGTGGTGGTTTCACCAGAGCATGCCTTGTCGAGGGCGATTGTAGAAGTGATCAGAGCTAGGGCTTCACCTGGATCAAAAATGAATTAATTATCTCAATTTGAATTCAAATGCTCAATAGTCAAAGGAAATATTAAAACCGTCCTCCAATAGTACAAATTACAAGAATAATTGAATAATCTAAACATCAGCAATTATTTAAAAAAATCAATTAGATTTCGATTTTAGTTTGTAATGAGAGTTAAGGGTAATTTTGTTTTTAAAAATACAAACAAAAGGATACAAGGAAAATTTTTTATCAACCTAGTGGAAAGAGTAATTAGTGTCACTTCGTGAATAATAGGTTTTGAGATAATTAACACTCACGTTCATTCTCATGTAATGTAAATCCCTCAATCATCGTTACTTGCCGCATAAAAAGAAGAAAAAGATCGTCCATGTCACTGGCCCTCACAATAAAGTCTGGATCTCGTTTCGCCAAAAAACTCAAAAAACGAATTCCACTCCTCAATGCATTAAACTGTTCTCTCCTCACACCTGTCCAGAAATTATCATCCAATCTCCTCCAGATTCCACTACCGGGACATTCATTCTCAGTCAATCTACTCCTAACTTTTTCCAAATTAATCTTTGAACAGCTATACAAAATTGTTACTGTACACGTTAATAGATTTGTTCTACAATTATGTACATTGGATTCGTCGGGCCAGGAAATGTTGTTCAATAGGAATGCCTTGTCGACGAATGAGAGCATGGAGAAGGCAAGTTTTATAGTTGTCACTTCGTCGAGTTTGAATCTCATCAGTTGAACCATGAAGATTGCTAGAGGACATGCGTCAGGCGTGAAATATTGCGCACCTTTCCACAGTTCTATCGCTGATTTTTCAGTCGGTGAAGGGCAAATCTTGAGATTGAAGATCTGTGCACCACAGAAACAACTGAGTAAATCAGTAAGTGGAAGAAAACACTGTAACAGCGGTCTCGAGAAAACAATTTCTCTGAATATCTCTCCGACATACTTGAGCCCTCGATTACTAAATCCCACTCTGCCCTGGGCATTACGAAGTGTCACAACAATTGCACAAATTAGTCCAGCAAATTGGTGGGACCTTCTGATGAGACCCACGGTCGTTACAAACTCCAGAATCATCTCTAGGACCTCAAACTCATGTCCCCTCTTCTCCCATGCGTTGTACCTCTCCATCTGATTGGAAAATCTCTGAAATCGTTCGTCGCCAGCAGTTATGAGTGTTGATTTTCCTGTTATGTATTCGCTGAGATAATCAGAGGCTTTCGCGATGCAGGAGAGTGTCCCAAAGGCTCGTCTTGCCTCGATCCCTCGTTCCTCTTTACACCAGGGGTTGGCATCCTGCAATGACTGGAAATAATTGATTTGTGTATCATAGCAGTCAGAGAAATAGAGATCGTTCATGTCTCTAATGTCGTCATTCTTCATTGCCGTTGAAATTTTCTTAAGGACTAGAGTGACATTCAGTAAGAGCTCTCTTGTAGTTGCAACAATCTTATTGATAATAGGCATGCAATCCTTCGAGTTGATCTCGACGGTAGTCTTCCTCATGATAGCAGTGAGGTCTCCCCAAAAAAATGCTGTGCTCAACTGTCTCCCATCGACAACAGTGACAATGGGTTTGACAAGCTCAGGATTCTCGAATATCCTGAAGGTCTCCTCCTCCTGAAGAATCGGCAAATTTTTCCTGCCGATCTTCTCCACGACTTTGACATCCACCACGGACTTCTCAGGGACAGGTGCCTCGAAAGTCCTCGCAGGGATACCCTCCAAAGGATAGCAATTAACCATTGCCTGCTCCGAGTTGATCTTGACATTGAGATCCACCTGGACACTGGTCTCAACCGTGGTTTTGACTGCCGAGGCACTTCTCACAATCTTATTCCTCGGGGAAGACACCGCAGAACACGAAGGCTGCACTAGCTTCACCTGATTATTCTCCAGTAACCTGCACTTCTCCATGAGACTCCCAAGCTCGAAGGTCTGAAGCTCCAACTTGGTCTTGATATTTTCTCTCTCCTTGGTGAGGCTTTTCACGTCTTCCTCCCTCTTCCTCTTCTCCTCCTGAAGAAGTTTCTCCGCATCAAGCCTCTCCTTTTCAGCTTTCAGTTGGGATTTCCTGAGCTTCTCCTTCAGATAATAGAGTTCACCAGTCAGCAGCTGAAGCTGAGGGTCCACATTCTCCCCTCGACTCACCTGACTATTGACTTGACTTTGAAATGTCGAGTTGAGGTTCGATCGAGAGATGAGAGCTCCCTTGAATTGATCAATGGTGGGAAGATCATCGATATCACCAACTACCTCTGAGGACCCCAGTTTCTGTGAAGCTGCAGGCCACAAGTCCGAGTTTAATCTCTGGATCTTGCCTCTTGGCTGGCCTGACACGTCCGGTCTTCTGCTCCCATTGATCCTGATACCATTGGCCAGCCCCGAGGTGGAGGGTCCTGGCGATGTTGAAGGCCCCGGCAGTAGAAAACTCCCGTACTTGACGATTGCTCTGGGCTCATGGTGGTTCAAATCTACAGTCGAGACATTCACCTCTTGAGAGCATGCCTGGGACGCTATGAGATCTATATGCTCCAGATCTTCTTCGAGGAGATCATCCCCCCACATGTCCTCATCGTCCTTCGAGGCTTTTCTTGAAACAATTGGAGGCTTTGGCAGCTCCAGCTTCGCTCGTTTCGCTGATGGTGATGCTTCTGGCTCGAGACCCTTTCCAAAGCGTTTCGACATGATGATGTCTGCATTGCACTCGAGGAGAATCAGCTGTTGAATTATCAAAGTCGTGGGACTTTTGTTTTTGTTACATTCTGAAGAACAAAACACTGGCCACTTCACCGGATGAGGTTATATCATTTCTTGTCTTTCGCAAAAATATTTGAATGATGATTGAACAGTGGATAATCTGAACGAACATGAGAGGCAACGAGAGCTGGGGACTGAGGACAAATTATACAGCGGAACGAGACAAACTTCTGGAATTGTTTCTTGTCAATTAATGTGAGACAGGACGGACAGAACTGATCAGCTCTGATTGTGGATTGCGGTCTGATTGTGGGTTGCGCTCCACCGACGGGAACGAGGGGGGGCACCACGTGGAATTTTCAAACACTCTGCGCCTGCGCGATCTAACCTGTCAAAAGTTTCAAAATATACAATGTTTTTACAACGGGACAACCCCAGTAGAACATCAACATTTTTCTTTAATTGTTACGTTAAAAAAAATTGATACTGTAAAAAAATTAATTCTGTGACTTAAAAAATTACTATTGTTTATGCAAATTATTTTTTCCCAAATCCATTATTACAAATTGAATTGTCAGTGAGCAAACGTACGTCGATTGTTTAAATAAAAGTCCACGGATAATTTAAATTCTTTTATTGTGAAATTATTGTCATTTACACGAGTTTTTTTTTTACATTGAAATAATGGAAACTTATATTTTAGGCACACGGGCAGAGATTATTCTATCGTATGTAATTATGAATACAGTACACATAATCACGGTTTACAGCAGCCAAATATTTTTTACATGTCCATTTGAAATTGCTCTGAAGTCTCATCAGTCACTGGAATATCTGTAATGACAATAAATAATTAATAGTAATAAGTTTCTGTCGGGTAAAAAAATTACTAACCCTTTTTCGATTTACTGCAGATATTTGAAATAACAGGTGCGATAGCTGCGGTATTCTTCAACAAATCCACTGGAATCAATGTTGAATTTGTTGGTGGAGTCCTCGATATTTGGGATTTTCTGAGACTCATTAAAAAGGCCCGCTCATATACTATCCGAGTACCTGCATTCAAAAATAAAAAAGATATCCTACAGATATTATTGTACACTGATAAATAAAACATCTTTGCAATTTTGTTGGGAAATTCCGACGGATTAATTTTCCAAACTGATAGAAGAATATTTTATTTCATTGAAGTTCTTGGAGACGACTGGTTTTTTCTCTCAGTGTCTTTGTTAATACATGTCTGTCATATTTATTGTTCCGTCGACAAGTTTTTCTTATCTCCTACGCGCCCAGGCAGTTCAATTCTTCAAGTCCCACGTATCACTTATTTATCATAATAAAATGAATTATTATCTCTTTTGTTTCGTCTTTCATAGTCAATCTCTACTCGCCCCAATGAGGTACCAATGTCAATCAAGAGGGAAAATGTTAACACAACTCTGAGATGAATAGCTCTCAATAAATAATGACTAATAACTTAAATATTGCCCTCATTTATAGCAGTGCAGTACTATCGAGTCTTGCATGTGACTCATACGTCGTAAAACCTTATCTACTTGCTACTGTATTATTTTTTTATCTTCCGAGTATTGATAACGATTTTGGAACGTATTCGTTGTGCTTTTTCCTATTTTCTCCGTCTCCAAATGTTTACCTTCATCTAAACACTTGGTTGATAAAAAATCATTGAGTTTGAATAAATGAATTACTAACAGACGGATAACATTTGGAAAATAAAAATGCCGTAAAAAGGTGAATGCAACAAAATGTTCATTTGCAAGTTCATGAATTTATCGCTGATATTTTTTCCTGTTTCAAGTGTTTAAGAAATTTGTTATTGTTTATTCCGAACGTGTCCGTTAATTGCGATGTTAAAATTGAATGAGGGAAATAGTAAAAAACAAGAATTAATTTATGCTTGAAACCTTGAATAACCCATTAAACATATGTTACAGACTCACATGTATCTGATAAATGGTATTCAAAAGCCACGTCAACATTTAAATATAATAGAGCAATTGACGAAATTGAATGAATAAAAAATGACACGATATGCACCTCCGGAGTGCAGGCGCTAAACTTATCTCGAAGGTCTCCGGTACACGTTGGACTGCCGATAAATAGAATTTGTTTTGATTGTGAGAAATGCGACAGCTCTTGAACGACTGTGGAATGTCACGTGATGCTGACTAGTAAGTAATCAATATTCAATTATAATCTCAAATTAATTAAAAACGACAAACAGAATGTGATCTATCCACGAATATTTAAATAGATTCTCGATATCGAAAGAACAAGCGTTAGCTACCCAAACACAAAAATATAAAATACCGCAAAAAGCTTTATAACAAAAAATTAATTATCTCCATCAATTGCAAAGAAATTTTGGAAAACCTCAAGAGCTGAGTCAACTCACGCTGTTTTATTTCACTGTGGAATTAATCAATTGAAAGATGTGGACTTGTTAATAAATAAAATAAGTCTTGTAAATATGTTAACTGACCTCCAGGTGTTGTTGAATAAATGGTACCTCCAGGAGTAGAAGAGTAATCAATAGGCATTTCATTGGGATCATGAATAACAATTGTTTTAAAAGGTATATTTTGGCTTTGGGTAGCTTGCCTTGCGATTGGTGATGCCGACATCCTTTCAATAATTTCCAGTTATATGATATTAAATAAAATATATATAACAAACACTCAGAATGAGACAAGGGATAAGAAAGGGACAGGACTGATATTCAAGAAGTGCTGCTATCACTGCAACCAAGACTTCACTGTCGTTAGCACAATACAACGGCTAGTATAAACTGGACTGAGACGACAGAGAGGAAACGATAAAAAACTGAAAAAGAAACAAAACGTAAGAAACTCAATTTCTCACGTACACGTGTTGTCACTTTGGATGTTTTGAATTTGTATAAGTGCTTCTATCACTGCGCAATTCAAGGCGTAGGTAGATAGGTACAAATAAAATGTCAGAAAACAAACTGATAACGAAATAAATCAATTCTCGTGTAATTTTTCAATCGCAAGAGACTGGACTCAATTACATGGCACTTCCCACGTAGAAATTCACCCTCTGAATTTTTTGAGAACATGTTGAACAATTATTTTCCATCAGACACTTATCATAAAGTAGTATAACATAAGTACGAAGATAAACATACTGGATTAGAAATGTTGAGGGGTTTTTTCAGGAAGAGTTACAATTTTGTTTTGACAGTGAAATCAAAATCTTCAAAGATTCTTTATGATTGAATGAATTTAATATTCATAATGTAATGTAATAATAATGAATGAATGTTTATTTCCACTGTATGGTGCTATACCTTTTACGGATAATAATAATAATATAATATAATAGTAGAATAGTAGTAATAATAATAGGGTAATTTTGAGTAAAAGAGAAATAGATCATGACGTCCTCCCTGCCCTGGAGGGAGTACTAAAAATCATGTGGTATGATTAACCTCCTCGATCGAGGTCTCTACACAGATGTTTCCACGTTGGTTTGACGTTTATACTCAGTGTTAATAAAATGCGAGTGTATTATGTACATGTGTATACAAATTGTCAAAGTATAAATGGCAAAAAATAGTGGACTGATGACAGGTGGGAACACGAGCATGTGTATTTATTTGAAATAATAATTCGACGAAGCGACTCGATGAAATGAGAATGAAGTAAGTCCATAAAAAAAATACCACACAAATAATCCCTAAGGTTATAATAATAAAACAACTGGTGACATATCGAAGATATGTGCAAGTCTCTGCTTATCTCGGACACAATTTGCTGGTGGTTTAGACTACATCCCGCCCGCTCCAGGAAGTATGATAATTACCCCTATGGTACAATTGAATGCCTCGATTAAGCTTCCCTAGAGCGTTGATAAAATATAATTGCAGACCAATACGTTGTATTTCAACAGCTAATTTATGCTAAGCTTCCTTCAGTTTTGTAGTTGACGTGTGTTCATTTGGTGGATTTATTTCAGAAGAAGTAACATCTGTTATGTTAATAACCAATCTATCAGTCCGACGAGCTGTGACAATTGTTAATCCATGAACGAGCTCGATATTTCATCGCAGTGAAAGACTCCTGAGTCACTGGGAAGAGTCGACGAACATCACATGTAATAATTCATTGGTAACAGCCACATCCATACGAGCGTTAAAAACGGTGTGTACTCTGAATTTATGAATTTCGTGACACAAGACTATTTTTATCTCTCATTTTTTTTACTCGGCTTTGGATCTACTCTCAGGTAATACAATGCAGAAGGGAAAGGAAATAATGAGGAATTGTTTTCAATTGTTGGTGGTTTTTCAATGCCTTGCAAGTTGTCTTGGGTCTTACGATGACTGGGATGGAGAATCTTTTCGCCAACGTCCTTGTCCAACTCTATATCGACGTGTCTTCACCAGTTATACACCGAGAGGAAATTTAACATTCGGTATATATACGAAAAAACCCTTCGTGATGGGAATGAAAGCCTGCGTTGATACATGTTGCTCAGAGAGCAACTGCCACGTAGCTTTGATGCATAATGGCACGTGTTTTCATGTGCAATGCACAAGCTCAAAAATGTGTACACCCCTGTATCGACCTGAATTATCAACACTAAGTGATCCACCGAGTATGGTATTAGTTAAGCCAGTTGAGGAGGATGAAGACATCAGGTGGAGGGACCTTGTGGATGAAATGGACGACAATTCACCATTATTGATGCAGGCTGCTGCCAGAGATCACATGATGTTTCATTCAGTAACTTGTTTGGACACATCCGAATGCCAAGAGAACGAAATCTGTATTAAACACGATAAAAATGACGACGGAGTGTGTGAATGCGCCGTAGGATTCAAACGAAATATAGCAGATACCTGTGGTCCTATTGATTCAATAAATCCCGGTGATTTGGCTGGGAATATTGTTGGAGTTGAGCCGTCGATGGAAAAAGTATCGTCATTGATGCCCGAGACTAAACCACCACTCAAACAACTCATAGTATCTGCTGTTTCCAAAGAAGTTCGTTTACCAGAAAATGCTGTGACACTCTCAGCATTTACTGTACCTGCTGAACAGGGTAATGAGCATTACAATTACGCTTGGAGTCTTCTAAGTCAACCAGAAGGACACACTGGAACAATGATTGATCAGAATAGATCTACAGTTAAACTCAGTAATTTATCGGAGGGCTTGTACAGATTTTTGGTGACAGTAAACAGCCCGACGGCATATGGAAAAGCTTACGCCAATGTAAATGTTCTTCCACCGAAGAGAGTTAATCAGCCTCCAATAGCCATTGTCTCTCCAGCCTCTCAGATCGTTAAACTACCAAATACCGGTGCAGTGCTCGATGCATCTGACAGTAAAGACGATGACAAAATAATATCCTATCATTGGGAGCTTCAGCAAGGACCAATAGGCTATCAAGCCAATCTAGTTGATACACCTACACTGCAATTGGATAATCTGATAGCTGGTAATTACACGTTCAAACTGACCGTTGAAGATTCAGACAACATATCTAATTCAACGTTCGCCAATATCACTGTACTTAAAGTCACTGATTATCCACCGAGTGCTAATGCTGGTCAAGACATAATAATTTATCTACCTCAGAATACATTGACACTCAATGGAAATTTGAGCACCGATGACAGAGGAATAGCAAGTTGGCAGTGGACGAAGAGCCCATCCGATCAAAATAAAGCTGTTGATATGCAGAATACGAGAACACCTTATTTGCAATTATCAAATCTTGAGGAGGGAATGTACACATTCGTTCTGAAAGTAACTGATGATTCGGAACAGTCGTCCACCGCTGAAGTTCACGTGTTTGTCAAACCACCAACGAATAAACCCCCAACAGCAGATGCCGGTGGAGATATTACAATAGCACTCCCAGATACTCGAGCGATATTGAATGGTAGTAAGAGTATGGATGACATTAAAATCGTATCGTACCATTGGCAATTAGTCAATGGCCCCAGTAGAGTTCAATTTTCCGCTGCTAACGAGTCCATAACGAATGTTACGAAATTAACTAAAGGAGATTACACATTTAAATTGACTGTTATTGATGACAATGGTAATAAAGACTCGGACATTGTTAATGTTAAAGTAACGCAGAATAAAAATGCCCCGCCAAAAGCTAATGCGGGTGGTGATCAAGTGGTTGTTGCACCAGTTAATGCATTGATAATAAATGGATCTCAATCGAGTGACGATTTGATGATTGGAAAGTGGCACTGGACGCGGGATCCAACGAGTTTAGCCATCGGCAACATCATCGAAGGTACTGATCAATCGCCTGTTCTCATGATCACTGATGTTGTACCTGGTCGCTATATTTTCAAGCTAAAAGTCACTGATGACGATGGATTATTCTCTGAAGACACTGCTTCAGTCATTGTAAAACCAGATCCACAACTCCTTCATCTTGTTGAATTAACACTGAATATTGAAGCGCATTCGTTGACAGAATCCCAGAAGGATTCCCTCGTGCTCAAGCTCCAAATGTTACTGAGAGAGGAGGCTGTCATCGTAATGACAGATTTGAAAGCAGAACAGAGGACTGGGCGGGCGCGATTGGTGTTCTATGTTCAGGAAAAAGGTAAAAAAATATCATTACCAGGGATTGAAGTTGTACGACGGTTGAGAGAGAAATTGTGGCAAGACTCTGGACTCCTGCAGCTATCTGTTACATCGATTGACACTGCCATTTGTCAAAATAATTGCTCGGGGCATGGAGTGTGTGATGAGGAATCCAGGCAATGTCTCTGCCATGCATTTTGGATGCAAAATCTTATTCAAAAGTACTTCGGAAATGGCGAATCCAATTGCGGTAATTCTTTACATTATTTATAATTATTGAGTTTCGTAAAAATCCGTTCGAAGGCATCCGTCAAATTTTACTCAAAGTTTGAGAGATAATTCTTTTATATTTCTTTTAATTCTCATAATATTGACGGAATGTCTCGATCGATTTATACGAGGCTAATCGTTTATTATCATTCGAAGGCATTACTAATTATATTAATGACGATAAAATAGATTGGAGCATTCTCTATGTGATAATTGCCCTGATGTCTCTGGTGGTTTGCTGGGTAAGCTTAGCCTGGGCTTTTCTGTGCATGTGTCAGAGAATTTGCGCGGGTAGACGACACTCCAGACCAAAGAAGAAACCAGCACGTTATTCACTTTTACAACCAGAGCCAGAGGACGATGGAAGTGCATGTACGTTTAGCATGGACCATGGATTTTATACATTTCGAGACACTAAAATTCAATAATAACTCAATTAACTCTATTTTCTACTGTAGATATTACTCAATTCCCTCCAGTTCTTGGGAGTAGATGAAATAATAATTTGTAACTTCTTAGAAAATATATGTAGATATATCATCACATAATGTTCAATGATCAGACTACTTATGTTAATGTGCAGACGGTCTTCTTCCAGTTTCAACCCATAAAATGGTATTATCAGAATCGGATACCGACTCTGATGATGTATTATTTGAACATCGAAAGAGCAAAAATAATGGTAATATACACGTTAGAAATGGAAAGAGTCGAAATGGTTTTGTCAAAAGTGGCTCTCGAATTAAAACATGAGGTAATGCCAGGAATATATCATACATTTACGTTGTTCATTTTTATTGAAATTATACCCATTATAATTTTTCAGAATTACTCAAATGGTTGTTTACGTCAGTAATGAAATGCACAGTCTGGACATTATTTGGCCAAGAGTACCACAACTGCTACTAGTCAGTAACCGATAAGACTACAGTATGATCTCTACGGTCATGTCGTCATAAACACAACGGCTACTTATGTTATTATTATTATTAAATGGGGAAAAATCGACAAACAAGAATCAGGAGGAACAACTACCGGTGGTTTTCTGTAATGTCGTGCATCCTGAGGCCATCATTTTCTGTGTGATTCGTCGTATCGTCGTATCGTGTCGAATAACATTTTTATATAAGTATTTCAATCATAATTACGTACACATCCGTGTGTATCTGAAGGAATCAAAGCCTAAAAATTATTTCACGTACGTTTTATTTGACCCATATCCTTTTTTATTCATTTTCCCATATACTTATGCGATAATATTCTAAGAAAAATAACTCACGACGAAAATTATCTGAAGTATGTTGGAATTCATTGAATGATACCAAAAAAAATCCAGAGAATACGAGATTTATATTTATAAAAATATGATTTTGATAGTTTTACAAAAGCATCAGATGTGAATGGAGAATGCTAATTTATCGTCTTATGTTGCGAATAAGGAAAACAATGCTGACGTCTTTCAATAAAGATTCAATTATTCGAAGATATTCTGATGGTTATCATATGGAAAATTCATCTTCAACATTGTTGCTCGGCCAGGCGTGTTTTTCTGTTGACAAAAATACTGGCTTCGGGGTAAGTTTGATTTATACAGATTCACGTGACAAATTTACACTTTTCTTTTCTTCTAAGTAGTCTTCGTAGGGTTGGTAAGCCGATAATTTTGGGACGCGGAATAAGAGGACTGCCTTCTGATAGTAATCGGGCACCATCTCAATATTATTGATTACTGTTGTTAATAGATGTCCTTTTTCAATAATTGCACCTGAGGGAAAGGCCGGAAAAAAATGGAATGAGTGAAGTAATTGAAGATTGATAGATTAAAGAGGAAAAATGAATATTTCATCACTCACCAGCATTTTCTACCCCAAAACTTGTAAAATGCACGTGGAGGTGATAAAAACTCGGTTGATAATGAAAGAAAATCTTCAATTCTGATCTCGGTACGTGGTATCGCTCCTCAATAATCTTACACGCATTTTCTTTGATATTTTTCAGTAGAGGCAGATGAGTGGCATTCAATTCTCTAATTGAAGGTATTCTTTGCCTTGTTATTGCCAATAAATATAGAGTTTGAATTTGATCGTCCCATTTGAGATCCTTCACCAAAACAAAGCCCGTGTCATTGTCCTTGTCATTGTATATGACTCTGTCAAGCTCGGCTGTACCATTCAAAATATTATCCACCCACTGAAAATAACGACCAGAATATTGAATACTGCATTGTGAAGAGTGAGTCCTCAGTCGTCAAATTTTAACATATGAAAATAATTCAATATCTAAATCCAGTTCACCTGCAGGGATAATGATGCTGCAAGGCGTCTCGGTAGAGTGACCTGTTCAAACAATTCCGGTGTCTCTTCAATTAAATAATACCGTGGTGCGCACCATTTTTCAAGATGCTTCTTAGTTGCAGGATATGTTATTGTTACGTTCAAACCTGAAAAATGAGAAACCCGGGGAAGATAGAATTAGATTAATACAATCTTCAAAGTATCTAGCAAATATACATATATGAATATTAATAATGTCAAATTGAAAACAATAAACACTTGTTACCGTTGCATTCGCTCGCCGGGAACCAATCGTATCCCCGATAAACATCATTCCGATAATTTTTCTTCGAACGTGTATTGCTATCGAAAAATCCCTGTAAAATCTCCGGCTCCTCCGGGAATATCTTTTTTTCCATAACCACCAACACTGTTTCGGTCTGTCCTTTGAATAATCCTTGCAATGCTATTCGCTTATTCATAATGTCATTCCTCAAAACTTTCTCCACTTGAAAATTTGGAACTTGTTTGAGGAATTCGTCTACGTCGTCGGTGGAATCATTTCGAGGAATTTTATCAGGTGTTGTTTCAACTTTTTGCTTTTTTCGAATAGGAGAATCGGTTTGGGCTTTTGGGCTTTCACTCTCCGCCATTTTCAGTGAATAGTAGTGTACTAGGTAGTACTAAATATTCGGAATTATTGCGTTTATTTTGAGCCGGGGGCCTTTCTCATGTGGTCGCCGACATATACTGGACTTTGGGATGAAATTTCCCGAGTTACACTGGTGGTTTGAGCCCAGCGTCGCAATAATTCATGTGAAGACCAAAATGCACGTCATGAGTATCGTACCTTATTGAGATACTCCAAAAAAAAATCTCCCAGATGACTTGAGGACTATATTCCTGCAGATGCAACTGGTTGGTCTTTCCTCTTTGTATTTACGCCTGGAGAAAAATCAAAATAAACGTGTGAAACGAAAATTTCCAATAAAAATATTGGGATAACCTCACATGATGCTCTGGGAAGAGAAGGGTAAAATGAAGCCGGGTCAGGACGCCATAGTAGAAGATAAACTGATAAGATAGGAGTTGATGGCAGCAAGAGTTGAACTCACAGACCTCTGATAGTTGTTTCATAATAATCGTAACGAGTGCAACCAAAAAATGCCTCTGGCACCGAAATTGCGGTTTTACAATGGATGCGAGATTCCTGTGCTGGGGCTGGGCACGTGGAAGGTAATAAAATTCCTCAAGATTATTGTCCCTTCAAAGATAATTGAACTAAATCCATCAATAATTTTATATAAATTGCAATTGCAACATGTTGATGACAGTCGAAAGTAGGAGAGGTTGGACAGGCAGTGAGATATGCCATTGATATCGGTTATCGTCACATTGATTGCGCCCTGGCATATGGAAACGAGAGTGAAGTGGGTGAAGCTATCAGAGATAAAATCTCTCAAGGGGTTGTGAAGAGAGAGAATCTCTTCATCACCTCGAAACTATTCAACAACTCCCACAAGTTCGAATCTGTGGAGAAAGCCATCAGGAAGAGTCTAGGTAATCTAGGGTTGGAGTATCTCGATCTCTACCTTGTGCACTGGCCTGTGGCTCACGAGGATGGGGATGAGTTGTTCCCCAAAAATCCTGATGGCTCCATCAAACTTGCGGATATTGATTATCTGGAGACTTGGAGAGGAATGGAGGAGGTGCATGCCAAGGGATTGACCAGGAATCTTGGAATTAGCAATTTCAATTCCGAGCAGATCAGCAGATTGTTAGCTAATTGCAAAATTAAACCCGTTGTTAACCAGGTATATTTCAGAATATTTCAATGAATTATTCTGTATATCATGTAATTTCTATTGATATTCAATCGATCTATACACGAAAATGTTTTTAAGACCCAATACATTGCATTTGCATGAATGCATTTATCCAGTCGTTCAATTCTCATTATTTTTCATCTCCTCAATAGGTGGAATGCCATCCATACTTGACCCAGCAGAAACTATCAAAGTTCTGTAATGAAAAGGAGATAATCATCACAGCATACTGTCCCCTGGGTTCTCCTGACAGGCCCGCGGCGAAACCAGAAGATCCGAAATTACTGGACGACAAGAATCTCCAGAAAATAAGCCAGAAATACAAGAAAACTCCAGCCCAAGTTGTCCTTCGGTATCAAGTGAGCATCAACTCAAGATAAATGTACAATAAATATTATCATAGAAATATTACAAAACGTCTTCATCAGATCGATCGTGGACACGTTGTAATCCCCAAGAGCGTAACGAAGTCGAGGCTCCTGGAGAATTTCGATGTGTTCGATTTCAAATTAAGCCCCGAAGACATCTCCTACATCAACTCATTGGACGTTAATGTGAGACTCTGCACCCTCGCCGAGTAAGTCTAGACAAAATTCCATTTTTCCAGAATGAATTATCCATGATTAATCAGAAAGACGTGTTTGTGTTTACAGTCGCAAGGCGAGTCCCTACTATCCATTCAACATCGAGTTCTAAGAACTGCGTATTGAAATATCGAAGAGTCATTCTGGTTTACTCCACTGGGGCCATTGTACTTTTTTTAATAACATTCAACATGAATTATTCAGATTACATAATACCTATAAACGATTTATTATAATAATTATTCTCGCTTTCTTATTGTGTCATCTTTCGCTTTCAAATTTTCCTTTCCCAATTTTATCTCCCCGTATTGAAGTCCATTTGTTTCGATCATACGTCCTATGTATTTTTCGTATTCATGACGAATTATTGCAATGAATGTTTGACAACAAATGGAATGGTAAAATATGCAATGGACTTCAGGTAGCCGATTGTTCTCAAGCAAGCGCAATCACAGAATCATTACTGAATTCATACATTAAGGCATTTCCTGAATCATTTAGTGGTGATGAAAATAGCGGAATATATAAAAGACGAAAAGTTTGCATTATATTATTTTGAAAACTCAATAACGATTCTCTACATTTCAATTTCCGTCATCAAACATTAAATCTAATTCTTTGCATCATTTTAAAATATCTTAATTCACAAGAAAGAAATACTTGAAATACAATAAAAAAAATTAAACTTTTTGGTGCATTATCCCCGATTATCGAAGTGAAGGACCCCAGATTTATTTAATATTTTATAAATCCTCAAAAATTTAATATCTTTACAATTATGCTGACCACCGTAGATGATAACGAATGGAAAAGACTGAATAATAATCCATACGAATCTCCTAATCTCTACTAAATACTCTCGAATGTTCGAATATTATTTATGCCATCGGTGCCCGTAATCACGCGATTCTAACCTCGCTTCGCTCGGTTAAATCGCGGATTCCGGGCGCAATGACATAAAATTTTGTATGAAACGCGTGCGTAATATATTTTTCGACTCGTGGGATTGTAAAACTCGCCTTCGGCTCGTGTTACAAACCTCCCACGAGTAAAAAAATATATTACGCACGTGTTGCATAATATACTATTCTATACTCTCATTATGCAATCAATATTGCAAAATACAGTTATACATTACATTGAGGCTGTCCTTGCAACTTGAGAGATTATCAATATGATTAAAAAATATGACAATATGAAAAGTTCTAGAGTTGAATCCCGCCTGCGCCATGTGTCTCCCCCCTACAGAATTTTCTTGTTACAACACTCAGTACATATGTACAACGGACTGTTCCCGAGTGTTAGTCATTTATTTTCCATCAGCCGACGTCCTCTGAGTTTTACCTGTATTTCCATTTTCTTTTTAATTCGCGTTCCAAGGGATTTACCAAAATGGCACAAATCGGACCGAAAATTAAGTTCAATAATGGTAACGAGGCTCCTATTTTCGGTCTAGGAACCTGGAAGGTAAATGAAATTGCATCAACTTATATTAGTTACCTCAAAGTCATAACCATTCGTGTCGCGAAATAATTATTACTGATATATTTTTATTCCAGTTTTTTTTACAAATGAGTAACTGTTGATATAAAAATAAGAATTTCCCTACGTTCTGAGTAAGCTGTAGGAAAAATTCACAAAACTTTACCAAAGATATGAAAATCGAAGAAATATCGACGATAACTCCTTGAATATTCGTCGACCGCATGCGCTCCATTTGTTTACCGATAAATAAAAATATTATGTTGACTACATTATGTTTTCTGCAACGTATTTATCTCTGTTGCGGCAGTTACATAACGAAAATGTGATATTCATCAAGATTTAGGGAGTGATTTGAATAATTGACGATACGATCCGATAACATACGATAAGATATCACATACTTAAATAATTCGTGTAACATAAACTGCGGAAGTTCCACGAGTTCAGAAATTCCTAAAACTCACACTTGACCTTGGTGCACATCAAGCTACTATAAAATGTATTTATTTCCATAGTCGAAGCCGGGAGAAGTGACAGAAGCTGTAAAGTATGCAATAGAAATTGGTTATCGTCACATCGATGGCGCTCATGTGTACGAGAACGAGAAGGAAGTCGGAGCTGGGATAAAAGCAAAAATCGACGATGGAACTGTCAAACGAGAGGATCTCTTCATCGTCAGTAAAGTGTGGTGTACCTATCACAAATCCGACAGCGTGGAGAAAGCCCTGAAGAGAACCCTGAGTGACCTTGGACTTGAATACTTGGACCTCTACCTGATCCACTGGCCATTTGGTTTCGAGGAGGATGGGGCACTCTTCCCTACGAATTCTGATCAATCATTTAAATTATCAGATGTTGATTATCTGGAGACCTGGAAGGGAATGGAGAACGTTCTCCAGAAGGGGTTGACGAAGAACATTGGTGTCAGTAATTTTAATTCAGAGCAGATTGAGAGACTGCTGAAGAACTGCAAAGTTAAGCCTGTAACCAACCAAGTGAGTACACTCGATATCTGATAATCCTTCCTAGATGATTCACAATTTCTGTCATTAGAAATGGACCAATGAGCAAATTGCAGTGCATAATAATGATGATTAATTATCTGGGGGAAATGGAAAATAATTCATAAATGATATATTGCATTTTCAGATCGAGGTCCATCCTTATTTGACTCAGAAGGAACTATCGAAATTTTGTAACGATCGTGGAATTACTATCACTGCTTACAGTCCCCTGGGCTCTCCAGACAGGCCCTGGGCTAAGCCCGATGATCCTAAACTCCTCGACGACGCGAAGCTCGTGGAAATGAGCAAGAAATACAATAAAACACCTGCACAAGTCGTCATTCGTTATCAGGTGATTTTATGAAAAAGAAATTATAATTTACAGTTCCTCACAATTTACTACATTTTATATTAATCCGAGTAATTTTTACTTCAGCTCGACCGTGGAAACCTCGTGATTCCCAAGTCAGTTACAAAGGCCCGCATTCTCGAGAATTCTCAAGTCTTTGATTTTAAATTGAGCCCCGAAGACATTGCGTATATTGATTCATTCGACATTGCCGGACGCATCTGCACAATGGCTGGGTAAGAATTTAAAATGAGAAACGTGTGTGATAATGATAATTAATTACAGTAATTACACATTGAATTTTGATGTTTCAGGGCTAAAGCGAGTTCATACTGGCCATTCAATATTCCCTTCTAATCCGTACAATTTCCGAAAAATAATTGTGTCTTAATCACCAATTCTATTTTTATTTTGTTACTCCTATATTTCTGATGTTTTTTATTTTGTTCAGAAATAAATGAGCATAAAAAATGCAACTCGTGATTTTTAATTGCTTGAGAGTCATGGGTACTCTCTAGAAAGACTCGTAATTATCCCCTCTTATAATTTATCGTCGGGTACTCGTTCAATGAGAATCCCGACGTTTTCATTACAATCATTGACATTCGTTTATTCAGTCGTCGCTGATCGCTGATTTGAAACATCAATAAAATGGTTGGGATGGTGATGAGCCTTCCCCCACGAATCCCGATGAGACTTTTCGACGGAAGTGGATGGAGGGCGTTCTTCGGAAGGATTTGACGAAGAACATTGGCGTCAGTAATTTCAATTCAGAACAGCTTAAGCGACTGCTCAAAAGCTGCGAAGTAAAACCTATGATCAACCAGGTACGTCGATTATTATGAGAGAAATTAGAGTTCAAATTCCAAAACCTGATAATTAAAAATATCATTCGAACTTTCGCCCCTCAGATCGAAGTCCATCCTTACTTGACGAACAAGCAACTCTCGAAATTCTGCAAAGATCGTGGGATTATCGTCACTGCCTCAATACTTCATTGATACTGCATCTAATGAATTGATAATATATCTGGTTCATATCTTCGCAGATCGATCGAGGACATCTCAAGTCATTCTCGTGATTCTCAAGTCATTCTCGAAGACACGTATCCTCGAAAATTCTCAAGTTTTCGATTTTCAACTGAATTCCGAAGACATGCGTACATCGACACTTTCGATATCGACTGGTGAATCTGTCCCATACCTGGGTATCATATTTTTTTAATCATTTAAAAATATGAAGGATGACTTCATAACGAAATTTTATTTCGTTAATACAATTCTTTTTCACTTTATTCATTTTTCAGTGCTACAGCAAGCCCCATCTGACCATTCCGCATTCCTTACTGTTCAACGAAAGGCCCGCAACAAATTACGTAAATGAATATTTTACATTTTATTTTTTACTCGAGCAATTTTATCCAACTAAATTCCAAAATGTTTCAATTATTTATCATAATTGTTCATTTCTTTTAGAGTATTCTTTTATCTCCCCCTCGACGATCCTTTCCCATTGCAGCATGTCAGGGTCTATTCTTCATCATGAAATAGTAATGGAAAATATCCGATGAATATTACGAGATGTTTATTTTCGAAAGGTCTGTCGAGTGGCATTCGAAACTTTTGTTGTAATTCCCTCACGTGCCCCCACCACTGTTTACATGATGAAGAAATAGGTGAATCGAGGGTTTAGCTTTAATCTTTTCGCACTCGCCTTGAGACCCTCGTTGTATTTAGTCTTCGATTTATCAGTTGCATTAAAAATTCTATATCATGCCGGTCAGAGCATCGATTCCCAAAGAATTAGGAACAAAAATCAAATTTAACAACGGTAATGAGGCACCTGCTCTTGGTTTCGGAACGTGCTCAGTAAGTATTGCTCTAATTAATTTCACCAGTAACGAAATAAATTCACATCATCCGTTGATACTAGGAGACTCTTATTTTCCTCGATTATTAAAATTTAATTCCCAAATTTCCACTAGACGAAAATAAACCGTTGAATTCATTTTCGACGCGAATGGAGAAATCTTCAATTTCAGAATTTCGAGCTACTATTATTATATATTACTTTATTGTGGCGTACAATCAATAATCGGGAGATAAAATTCATGATAATTTTACTGACTGTGGGATTATCGATAATTGCAACAGCCGGAGTTCGAGGAGGCAACTGACGCCGTGAAGTACGCCATCGAAATCGGCTATCGTCACATCGATTGTGCCCCAGTGTACGGTAACGAGAAGCAAGTCGGTGATGCGATAAAATCCAAAATCGAAGATGGAACTGTGAAGCGAGAGGACCTCTTCATCGTCAGCAAACTCTGGTCGAATTCTCACAAATTCAACAGCGTGGAAAAAGCTCTCAAGAGTAGCTTGAGTGCCCTCGGGTTGGATTACTTAGACCTCTACCTAGTCCACTGGCCATTTGCTTTCGAGGACGGCGATGACTTCGTCCCCAAGAATCCTGACGGCAATTACAAAGTATCGGATACTGATTATGTGGAGACCTGGAAGGGAATGGAGAATGTTCTCCAGAAGGGACTGACGAAGAACATCGGTGTCAGTAATTTCAATTCAGAGCAGATTGAGAGACTTCTGAAGAGCTGTACGATCAAGCCTGTGACCAACCAAGTGAGTTGTTTTTATTTTCCAAAATTATACTCTGTATTAATTATGTATTATATAGCCGGAATGATAAATCATTTTCTAATTCATGAATCATGTTTGATATTTTGCATTATTAGGTCGAAGTCCATCCTTATTTGGCCCAAAAGGAACTGTCAAAATTTTGCAATGATCGTGGGATTACTATCACAGCTTACAGTCCCCTGGGTTCTCCGAATAGACCCTGGGCTAAACCCGAGGATCCAAAGCTGCTCGAGGATAAAAAACTAGTGGAAATAAGCAAGAAGTACAATAAAACCCCCGCCCAAGTCGTAATTCGCTACCAGGTACTTTATGCCATTAAAATTTCTCTTCTTTTTTAGTTTTAGTTTTAGTTTTAAAATTTAGTTAATTGGAGAATCTGTTTCAGCTTGATCGAGGACACCTCCTGATTCCCAAGTCATTCACCAAGGCACGTATCCTCGAAAATTCTCAAGTATTCGATTTTCAATTGAGTCCTGAAGATATTGCCTACATTGATAACACCTTCGACAGGGGCTATCGTTTTTGCTCCATGTCTGAGTAAGTATATTTTAATTAACGAGAGTAAAAAACAGAAACTCCTGAATATTTAATCTCTGAATTATTATTATTTGGATTTTTTAGGGCCGATGGGAGTCCTAACTGGCCATTCAGGATTCCTTTCTAAACGATAATTTTTGGATATTTCATATATTTTTTTATTGTGAACATATTGATTATATAGTAATAAACGAATCAGTGGCATCCCTCCAAATCCCCCGCTTTATTTCCTGTCCTCATTATAGTTGATTGAAACAATGCTGGGGTGTCCATCGAGTCGACGGGGTGAATTTTATTTTCTGCGGTATGAATGCTTTTTGTTTTTTATTCATTTAACTGAAATTTAGCCGACTACAGAACGAGCGGAAGGGGGAAACCACATCTTATGGAATTTCAATAGAAAAAATTATTCAATATGTTGAACATATACCACTAATAAAATTATGTTTTCATAATAATCGCGTTGTCCTTTCGGTAACGTGCTCGGCTAGCACGCCGACGGCTGGGGTTCGCTCCCGCCAACAATAATTTTTTTTTTAAAATAATTCCTATTTTTTTTTTTTAATGGCTAATTAATGGAAATATCGTTTAAAAACTGAATATTTGAAAATCGAGAAGATATCCACTGAAATTGAAAAATTAGCAATTTTTTAAAACGATAATTTTGCAAAATATATACTCCTAATGAAATTATATTATTGTAAAAAATGCGTTATCCTAGCGGTAACGTGCTCGGCTAGCACGCCGACGGCCCGGGTTCGATCCCGCCGTCATTCATTTTTTTTTT